TTGTGAAATGCCTCTATTTATTTATTCTAGAAGTCAAGTATTATTTTCTGGTAAGACACATTTTATCATAATTTAGTCTGTTATAATTACCCCTCAATTTTATCATATGTCAACAATGACAGAAACTTATAATAAACTAGTTTATGCAGTGATCCTTTAGCTTTTTTGATGATATTGTTTTCGGAAAATTATATCGTTTATTTACTTTTTAGCTATTGTTTTTAATATTTCGTACTTGATTAAAGTGATCAAAAACACCTTATAATTGTGACAAAAGTTTGGTCCTTTTCTGTTATATTAGCTTGATAAAAAAATAACGAAAAAACCAACATCAGTCTATCAACATGAACCTAAACAAAAACCGGAGGTGATCTTAGGTGCTTCAGAAGGATAGGCATAAGATAAGATAAGATAAGCGACACACTTTGTGCTGCTCATGACAAGTAAAAATTCTAGTCTCATTCGATGAGGTCACATTCAAAGACGGAATTGTGGGTACGACAGTTGGAATCCATCCGTTGTCATCTATGGTATAGATATTCAAAAAAGATCAACCAAATTATGGTAGCGTCCGTAAAATTTCGGAGGGATTACTTCAACTTTGCCGTTTGAAACCATCAAACAGATAATAGTTGAGCGGAGACATAAGCGAAACAATTATGTAAAATCAATTTACTGTAACATTTTGTTGTAACTATTGTCTTCTGTTGCGTTTATCAATGAAAACAAAGTTTATGTAAATGACTTTACTATACAATGAATCTGACCACTGACGACCGGTTGCGATGAAGACACAAAAATATTCTGAAAAACAAATTAACAAACATTCAAATGACACATTCAGACTTCAGTATTAACTTTTCATTTTTTCTTTAAATTTTGGAAGAAAATTTAATGATGTATCATTTTGGAACCAAAATAATGATGGTTCATAGACATAAGAAGATGTGGTATGAGTGCCAATGAGACAACTCTCCATCCAAGTCAAAATTTATAAAAGTTGACCATTATAGGTCAAAGTACGGTCTTCAATGTATTTTTTAGATACATTGATGGAAATTACTTAATAACTTGGAAGTTTATAAATATATTATGATTGAGTTGATCTCTTACCGCGGCTTTATAATTGTTCGGTATAAACATTGTGACCTTGGCAGACCAGTCGAGCATTTGTTCCTTTTATAGGTATCACATCTCCCTTGGCATATACCGTACCATCAAACAAACATCCACCTACAACCAACCATATTTTAGATTAGTTCTATATAGTCTCATTTTCATATTGTTTTGATCATGCTTAAACCTAAAATCACTCAATGCATTTGTTTTATGAATCATATAATCTGTAAATCTGAGTAAATCTGGTAAATAAGAACGATCAAATGATTCATTTGCCAACTAGGGAAAGTACGACTTTGTCTTACTTGATCTCACTTCGTTCAGAATAATTTTCTAATATGAAATTAAGATATATAGACAGATAGATAACATCTGCAAGGTCTTAAATAAATTTAGATTGCTGAACGTCAAAGTATTTTTTCACGCTATTGAAAAACCGTACTGAATTTCTCCTAAATAAGAACGATGAAACCAAGGATAGATTTAAGAAGTCCTGTTTTGGCCAGAATTCCGATATAACATTTGCACATTCTTGGTAGTTATAATGGTGAGGTCATTTGATGAAACATCTATGATGAAAACTCATTGCTACGTCAACACAGACAGTATGGGGACTGATTTAAAGAGATGAAAAAAAGATAATCGATAAATACTACAATTGATGAAAAACGAATAAAGAACACATAGGTGAATGATAACTATACAAGTGCACCAGACACTTCTTGTAATGGTTATCTCAGAAGACAAAAGAAAGAACAGAAAGTTCAATGACATTGGAATGTGTCATATAGATTTTTAAGAGATAAGATGATTAAGCATATATACACATGAAACAACAAATGATTACATATACTCACTTTGTCCATCTACTGAGCGTTTAGTCTGCGGACATATGCCACTTAAATAAAATTAATTGATACAAAATCAGATTAATAAACTTAAATATAGAAGTAGATCAAAAATAATATTCTAATATGACGTGCATATTTCGCTTTGTAAACAACACCGTGATAAAATTCTCGATATATCTATACTTAGCGCAGACTCCGAGATGTACATAATAATGGCTGTTAAAATATACCTCCCACGTAAATCCACATGTATCGTAACCTATGTGCAAACGCTATGTCGATTTCGCTGTGTTAAAAATTACAATTAAAAAAACCCTACAGAACCTTTATTCTTCTTCTGAGGCATAACAAAAAGAACTAATGCATTAGAGATCGGAAAAATGTACAAAATCAAAATAAATTAAAATTCTGCGAAATTCCATGAATGTTTTTGGCGCATTAACGTCATTTCAAAACATGACGTCATACGAATGAAAACGACAAAGCTGAAGGGTTTTCCATTGCGTTTACATTCTAAACTCGGATAATATTGCATTGAAATAACATTTTGAGGTTGGTGTTACTTTTTAGCTCACTGGGGCCCGAAGGGCCCCATGTGAGCTAATGCCATCACTTGGCGTCTGTCGTCGTCCGTCGTCTGTCGTCGTCGTCTGTCGTAGTCGTCTGTCGTCGTCTGTCGTAAACTATTTCAAAAATCTTCTCCTCTGAAACTACTGGGCCAAATACCTTCAAACTTTAACTGAATGTTCCTTAGGGTATCTAGTTGATAAATTGTATCCGAAGTTTTGATCCATTGACAAACATGGCCGCCATGGCTAAAAATAGAACATAGGGGTAATATGCAGTTTTTGGCTTATATCTCAAAAACTAAAGCTTTTAGAGCAAATCTGACATGAGGTAAAATTGTTCAATTGGTCAAGATCTATCAGCTCTGAAATTTTCAGACGAATCGAACAACCCATTGTTGGGTTGCTGCCACCGAATTGGTAGTTTTAACAAAATTTACAGTTTTTTGTTATTATTTTGAATATTATTATAGATATATATATAGACTGTAAGCAGCAATAATGTTCAGCAAAATAAGATCTACAAAAAAGTTAATATGACCATAATTGTCAATTGACCCCTTAAGGAGTTATTGCCCTTTAAAGACAATTTTACACAATTTGTTCATCAAGTTTGCTAACATTTAAAAATCTTCCTCTCTGAAACTTCTGGGCCAATTACTTTCAAACTTTAATTAAATGTTCCTTAGGGTATCTAGTTTATAAATTGTATCCGAAGTTTTGATCCATCGACAAACATGGCCGCCATGGCTAAAAATAGAACATAGGGGTAAAATGCAGTTTTTGGCTTATATCTCAAAAACTAAAGCTTTTAGAGCAAATCTGACATGGGGTAAAATTGTTCAATTAGTCAAGATCTATGAGCTCTGAAATTTTCAGACGAATGGAACAACCCATTGTTGGGTTGCTGCCATCGAATTGGTAGTTTTAACAAAATTTTGCAGTTTTTTTTTATTATTTTGAACATTATTATAGATATATATATAAACTGTAAGCAGCAATAATGTTCAGCAAAGTAAGATCTACAAAAAAGTTAAATGGCAATAATTGTCAATTGACCCCTCAAGGAGTTATTCCCCTTTAAAGACAATTTTACACAATTTGTTCATCAAGTTTGCCAACATTTAAAAATCTTCTTCTCTGAAACTACTGGGCCAATTACCTTCAAACTTTAACTAAATGTTCCTAAGGGTATCTTGTTTATAAATTGTATCCGAAGTTTATATCCATCGACAAACATGGCCGTCATGGCTAAAAACAGAACATAAGGGTCAAATGCAGTTTTTGGCTTATATCTCAAAAACTAAATCATTTAGAGCAAATATGACATGGGGTAAAATTGTTTAATTGGTCAAGATCTATCGGCCCTGAAATTATCAAAAGAATCGAACAACTCATTGTTGGGTTGCTGCTACTGAATTGGTAGTTTTAACAAAATTTTGCAGTTTTTTTTTTATTATTTTGAATATTATTATAGATATATATAAACTGTAAGCAGCAATAATGTTCAGCAAAGTAAGATCTACAAAAAAGTTAATATGACCAAAATTGTCAATTGACCCCTTAAGGAGTTATTGCCCTTTAAAGACAATTTTACACAATTTGTTCATCAAGTTTGCTAACATTTAAAAATCTTCTCCTCTGAAATACAGGTGAGCGATTCAGGCTCTTGAGAGCCTCTTGTTTCTATTCTATTGCATTATTCGCATATTTACTGATTTCAGCAAGTCAACATGGCGGCTCCTTGGTTACAAAATGTCAACAGTGAATTTGACGGTAGCTTACGAGAAAATCATGTAAATTAAAAATGCCAAATGTTAGGTTTGAGAATTAAAAGAATCAATCACATTTTTTCTAGCGGTTACTTAAGAAATGATTAAGGCGGTGTTCATACCTCGTGGTCAGTATTTGTTGTTGTTATGTCTCATGCAATCTTATATATTTTCTGAATTTGTTATGGTTTTGGTATCAAATTTGCTTAATAATTAATTTTAACACTATTTAAAAGAAAAATAAATGCAAACATTAGATAATTTTTTATGCAAAAAAAAAAAATAAGAAAAAAAAAATAAGAAAAGTAAAAAAATAAAATATTTCATCGTTGTAAGATTCAAGATTTTTTTAAAAATAAGACAACCGTCACCTTGTTAACGTCATCATGTTTTGGTGACAAACAGCAATAACAGCTCTTAATTTTAAATATAAAGTGAATATTAGTATTTTATATGTTTAATTTCTATACCATATCCTTTCACTTTAATATATACATTATACAATGGATTGCGACTCTTTTTCTTGATGTTTTGTTGTCTTATTCAAAATTGTTTACATAATTAAATACAGAGAACAAAATGCACACTCTATATATCTTATATGATAAAAGACAAATTAAAACAACTGACCCAAGACTCTGATACGGTCCAAAGGCATTGAATCCCAAACATTCCATTTGAGCCAAACAATGGCCGATTGTGACAAATTCGTTCTTATTGTAAATTTTACCATTAAACACACATACAGCTGAAAATTGAAGAAGAAAATGCAAAAATATAAGGTTGCAAATCATCTATCTTTTCTGTTAACAATTTGTTATGCATATTTTTCTTTTTTTTCTTTCGCTTTGTAAACAACAGCGTGATGAAATTCTCGATATATCTATACTTAGCGTAGACTCAAAGATGTACATATTAATGACTGTTACAATTTGTAACTCCCACGTAAATCCAAAAGTGTCGTAAACTATGTGCAAACACTTAGTCGATTTCGTTGTGTTCAAATTGAAATGGGAAAAAAAACTACAGAACCTCTATTCCTATTCTGATGCATAACAAAATGAATTCATGCATAAGAGCCTGAAATAATGTATAAAATCAAAATAAACTAAAAATCCGCGAATATAGATTATTGTAACTACAAACATACTAATAACCCTAAGGCTAGAGACAGTATTTTAGAAATCATCGAAAAAAGAAGTTTAAAAGATCCATTTAGGGAGCTTTATCCTAATGTCCAAAGGTATACTTGGAGAAAAAGAACTCCATTTAAACAGGCTAGATTAGACTTCTTTCTTTTTACAGATAATATGTTAAGTAGTCTAAAAAACTGTGAAGTACATCCAAGCTATCGTTCAGATCATTCTATGGTATTACTCGAATTGGAATTTAACCCTTTTAACACAGAAGATCATGAAATACCTGGGCTCTTGTTGTTAATTGATTTCGAAAAGGCTTTTGATTCTATTTCTTGGGATTTCTTGCTAAATGTTTTAAAGTTCTTTAATTTTGGGGAATCAATTATCAACTGGATAAAAGCGTTTTATAATAATATAAAGTCTGCAGTTATACAAGGGGGTAACCTTTCTGAATTTTTTAACATAGGTCGGGGCTGCCGACAAGGCGATACGATTTCACCTTATCTTTTCGTCCTATGTGCTGAGATTCTTGCACTGAAGATAAGAGGAAACACAGGTGAGCGATTCAGGCTCTTGAGAGCCTCTTGTTTCTATTCTATTGCATTATTCGCATATTTACTGATTTCAGCAAGTCAACATGGCGGCTCCTTGGTTACAAAATGTCAACAGTGAATTTGACGGTAGCTTACGAGAAAATCATGTAAATTAAAAATGCCAAATGTTAGGTTTGAGAATTAAAAGAATCAATCACATTTTTTCTAGCGGTTACTTAAGAAATGATTAAGGCGGTGTTCATACCTCGTGGTCAGTATTTGTTGTTGTTATGTCTCATGCAATCTTATATATTTTCTGAATTTGTTATGGTTTTGGTATCAAATTTGCTTAATAATTAATTTTAACACTATTTAAAAGAAAAATAAATGCAAACATTAGATAATTTTTTATGCAAAAAAAAAAAATAAGAAAAAAAAAAATAAGAAAAGTAAAAAAATAAAATATTTCATCGTTGTAAGATTCAAGATTTTTTTAAAAATAAGACAACCGTCACCTTGTAAACGTCATCATGTTTTGGTGACAAACAGCAATAACAGCTCTTAATTTTAAATATAAAGTGAATATTAGTATTTTATATGTTTAATTTCTATACCATATCCTTTCACTTTAATATATACACTATACAATGGATTGCGACTCTTTTTCTTGATGTTTTGTTGTCTTATTCAAAATTGTTTACATAATTAAATACAGAGAATAAAATGCACACTCTATATATCTTATATGATAAAAGACAAATTAAAACAACTGACCCAAGACTCTGATACGGTCCAAAGGCATTGAATCCCAAACATTCCATTTGAGCCAAACAATGGCCGATTGTGACAAATTCGTTCTTATTGTAAATTTTACCATTAAACACACATACAGCTGAAAATTGAAGAAGAAAATGCAAAAATATAAGGTTGCAAATCATCTATCTTTTCTGTTAACAATTTGTTATGCATATTTTTCTTTTTTTTCTTTCGCTTTGTAAACAACAGCGTGATGAAATTCTCGATATATCTATACTTAGCGTAGACTCAAAGATGTACATATTAATGACTGTTACAATTTGTAACTCCCACGTAAATCCAAAAGTGTCGTAAACTATGTGCAAACACTTAGTCGATTTCGTTGTGTTCAAATTGAAATGGGAAAAAAAACTACAGAACCTCTATTCCTATTCTGATGCATAACAAAATGAATTCATGCATAAGAGCCTGAAATAATGTATAAAATCAAAATAACTAAAAATCCGCGAATATAGATTATTGTAACTACAAACATACTAATAACCCTAAGGCTAGAGACAGTATTTTAGAAATCATCGAAAAAAGAAGTTTAAAAGATCCATTTAGGGAGCTTTATCCTAATGTCCAAAGGTATACTTGGAGAAAAAGAACTCCATTTAAACAGGCTAGATTAGACTTCTTTCTTTTTACAGATAATATGTTAAGTAGTCTAAAAAACTGTGAAGTACATCCAAGCTATCGTTCAGATCATTCTATGGTATTACTCGAATTGGAATTTAACCCTTTTATTAGAGGAAAAGGTTTATGGAAGTTCAACAACTCCTTACTTTATGATATCGAATATATAAATACAGTTAAACAAAAGATTAGTGAAATCAAAGCGCAATATTGTGCACTTGTTTATAATTTTGATAATATTGATGAGATTGATAATGAAGATATTCAATTGAGAATTAATCACCAACTTTTTGTTGAAACTTTATTGATGGAAATCAAGGGGAAAAGAATTTCATATTCCAGTTACAAAAAGAGGGAATCTGAAAAAAGGGAAACAACTTTACGAAATGAAATTATACAGTTAGAGGAGATTGTTGACGAACTTTCAATAACTAAACTTGAGAGCAAAAAAAAAAACTTGAACAATTACGTATTAAGAAATTAAAGGGGAAAATAGTCAGATCACGTGTTCAATGTATAGAGGAAGGAGAAAAACCAACAAATTATTTTTGTAGACTGGAGTCAAAAAATTTTATGAGTAAAATTATATCAAAAATTGAAAAAGCTAATGGGGTAATACTTACTGATCAGAACAAAATTTTAAAAGAAGTAAAACTTTTCTATGAAAATTTATATAAGAAGAGATACAACTCAAGTTCAGTAGCTGATCTGAAAGAAGATCTTAAAAATATAAATGTTCCAATACTTTCAAGTGATGAGAAGGAGAGCTTGGAGGGTAGAATCACAGTCAAAGAGGCTGGACAGGCATTAAAAAATATGAAAAATAATAAAACTCCTGGCTCTGATGGCTTTTCATCTGAATTTTTCAGTTTTTTGTGGTTGAATCTTTAAATTATGGTTCAGAACAGGGAGAATTTTCAGTAACACAAAAGCAAGGAATTATTACTTGTCTTCCAAAAGGAAATAAACCTCGTAATTTTTTGGAAAATTGGCGTCCTATCTCACTTTTAAACACTCAGACTGCCTATAAAATTGGGTCAGCAGTAGTTGCAAAACATATTTAAGAATGTCCTTGACAAACTTATTAATTTAGATCAGACTGGTTTTATTAGTGGGAGGTACATAGAGAAAATATAAGGCTTTATTATGATATCATGCAATACACAGAAGATCATGAAATACCTGGGCTCTTGTTGTTAATTGATTTCGAAAAGGCTTTTGATTCTATTTCTTGGGATTTCTTGCTAAATGTTTTAAAGTTCTTTAATTTTGGGGAATCAATTATCAACTGGATAAAAGCGTTTTATAATAATATAAAGTCTGCAGTTATACAAGGGGGTAACCTTTCTGAATTTTTTAACATAGGTCGGGGCTGCCGACAAGGCGATACGATTTCACCTTATCTTTTCGTCCTATGTGCTGAGATTCTTGCACTGAAGATAAGAGGAAATAAGGAAATTTGTGGTATTGAAGTTACTCAAGTTGAGCATAAGTTGTCACAGTTTGCTGATGACACTTCATTGATTTTAGATGGTAGTGAAAAATCTTTATATGAATCTTTATCTGAATTGGACTGGTTTGCAAAAATATCTGGTTTAAATATAAATTTTGCAAAAACACAAGTAATTTTGTTTGGAAGTAAAAAGTATAGCAAGGAAATTTTATGTCCTGATGTTAACCTTTCATGGGGGAGACAACTTTTAAACTACTTGTTATAAATTTTGATGTGGACTTAGAAAATGTTGTCAATATCAACTATAATGATAAAATTATACAGATTAAGAACATAATAAAACAGTGGCCAAAAAGAAACCTTACAGTAAAAGGTAGAATAACTGTGATAAAAACTCTTGTTTTACCTATTTTAAACCACCTTATTATTTCTTTGCCTAATCCTTCTGATAGTGTATTCCAAAAAATTAATAACATTTTTTATACATTTGTATGGAACTTTCCTATACATAGAGTGAAGAAGGACGTATTGATTAAAGAATATTTGGAGGGAGGATTAAAAATGATAGATCTTTATAGTTTTACCATGGCACTAAAATCATCATGGATAAGAAGGGTTTTTCAGAGAGATAATAAGTGGCAAAGTATTTTGATGTCTGATATTGATAAAAATAAACTTTTTAACTGTGGTGTTCAGTATATCAAACAAGTTAGTTTATATATCAAAAACAGTTTTTGGAAAGATGTATTCAGAGCATGGGAAATGATAATTCATAAAGAAAGAAATATGGACTATGAATATTTTTTATCAAGTCCTATTTGGTTTAACAATATGATTAGAGTTTGTAATAAACCTGTTTTTTACCAACATTGGTTTAATCATGGTTTACAATATGTAAATGATGTAATAGATGAAAATGGATTTTTTATTTCATTAGAATTGTTACAGCAATGTTACGATATCAATGTAAATGTTTTGAATTACATGAGTGTTATTTCTGCTATTAAAAAAGAAGCAAATAATTACAAAAAAGATTCATATAAGTTATGTTGTCCATTTATTCAAGCTTGCTTACAAGTCTTTTTTAAAAGTAGAAAAGGTTCTAAAGATATGTACAAAATACTCGTTAGTAACAATGTGACTCCAACAGGACAACTGAAGTGGGGTGAAATATTAGGCGAAGATCTCATTTGGAAACATATATTCAAACTACCTTTTACAGTCACTGTCAATACTAAACTACAGTGGCTTCAGTACAGAATCAACCACAGAATTCTTGCCACAAATAAATTTTTATGTAAAATCAAACTTATTGATAACCCTCTATGTACTTTTTGTAAATTGGAAGATGAAACTGTTGAGCATATTCTGTGGAATTGTGAGATTATCCAAATTTTTTTACAAGATATTGATTATTGGTTTTTATCTGGTGGGGTAAGCCTGCCATTGATTAAGTTAAATTTTATTTTTGGAGATATATCAAAAGTTCGAAAAGGTGACCCATATAATTTGATTTTTCTATACATGAAACAATATATATACAACAGTAGATGTTTTTCAAAAGATCTTTCACTCAGTGCCATTAAAGAAAAGCTAAAATATATGTTCAATTTAGAAAAAATAATGGCAGTCAAAAATAAGAGACAAGAGCACTTTGATACCATGTGGAATGCATTTAAGGAATTATTTTTATAATTCAATTTGTCATTTATTATTTACAGATAATTATTGTCAAAACTAACATAATATATTATTGTATCTAATAGCACAACTTATTATGTACTGAAAATCTTACAGGATATTTTAACCTCTTCCTTTTTCATAAAATACTTTAGCCTTCTCATGCGCCACACAGTGGTACATAAACATTTAACTCAAATTATCTTTTCTTCCGTATTTATGTTCTCTTTTCATATAAATATAAAACTGAATTTTCAACAATGTTTATTGTTATAAATAAATAGATATTCAAATGTATTGCTAATATTACTGTATGTATGTTTGATGTGTTGTATTTGTTGTAATTCTTGAAAATAATAAAAATTAAAAAAGAAATAAAAATCCGCGAATTCCATGAAAGATTTTGGCGCATAAACGTCATGTCATGATATCATACGAATGAAAACTCTCAAACTGAAGGTTATTCTGTTACGTTGACGTTCCAAAATTTGGATAAAGTCGTATTGAAATGTAGTTTTGAGGTAGATGTTGTTTAATTTTCTTTTCTACTACATTATTCGCACATTTATGGATTTCAGCAAGTCAACATTGCTGGTCATGTGAACATATATTTGTTCTGCATAATACTTGTTCCCCCTGGAACAAAACTATGGATAATAAAAGTTCTTGGGAACAAACATTACATAATACTATTTCCACCTTCATAAGATATTTTCCTGGAACTAAAACATCATATGGTTTCATAATATTTGTTCCTTTAAAGAAAGAGTTTCATTTGATTTTTTACACCTGATTACATCTTAATTAATGTTCACCTCACATGACATTTACCTGTACATGTAGTACATACAAAGAATGGAGTCTGAGGAATACGACATGTGAACTATGGACTATACGGTTTAACGCTTTTTTTAAAATTGCCGTATTTCCAATACTAATATTAGAAGAGAGATAATTCATGCAAGTCAATAAATTTAGTATCATTCTCACATGGCCTGAACCGTTATATTCGTTAACTTTATCCCTCGCTAACGCTCAGGATAAGATTCGAATATAACGGCCCAGGTCATGTGAAAATTACAAACAAACTAATAGTTTGCATGAATTATTTCTTTAATAACACCTTCACGATATTCTATTTCTGGCGCTGGTGGAAAATAAACAAAACGGTGTCTGCTAAAAATTTTCCATATTGGAAAATCATTTAAAAAATCTGTTACAATGATTTTTAGTTTGTTTTCTCGTCACTTTTTATATAAGAATAAAGGTTTTTTTTTATAATAGGTTTACCTCAGATTAAAAATCAAAGCTTGCACAGCCAAATACATAAAACATTGAAAAGCACCAAAACCGAAAAAGTCCAAAACAGATAAGAAAAGGTCGTTGAAGTTTACTTTCCTTGAAGGTTTTGACCTAAGTTTTACGACAAATGCACCATTTACAAAAGAAACGTGTATTGTCTTTCAACAAGCAAGTACTGAATCTATTTTACAGAAATTATTCAATACATCTTTTTTTACTGATACCAATTTTAATTGATAGCAAATTCACTGCTAAAATGATCAGTAGTAGTTTCAATTCAGACTATAAGTTGTACCTACATTTGAAGGTAAAGAAGAATTAGAAAGATAGAATTACGTGTTTGCTGATGTCATAATGTGTTTTGATTAAAAACCGAAATTTTCATTTCATTTTTTTATAATTTGCAAATGAACTTACTTTTTTCAGTTGATCGTTTCGTTGAAGGGCATACGCCTCTAAAAATACAAATATGGAATATAAGCAAGACAATATCAGTAATGACTCTTCATTTAGTGAAATATTTGACTTTACAACTGACGTCTGCTTGCTGGTTACAATCGATTTATATTCGTTTCCGCGAATCGATCTAAAGGCTTCATAATTTATCTAAATCATTTACTTCTAGTAGATAAACGATAGAACATAAAAGTGTTTCGATTATTTTCATTTAGAAAGCGACCATTTTGTTTTAAATACCCTAATCATGATTATTTCGCAAGCTTTTTAAAAAATATATTTGAAGATCAGATAATATTACCCATATTGTTCCAGGTTAGTATATACATTGTTGCCCATGCATGTCATGGCACCAAGGCAGTTACTGATGATGATTTTATCTCCGGTAGCGTACATTGTACCATCGAATAAACATCCTGAAATAAATCTTTGGTCAAAGTTTCTTCTTAACTCAAATCAAATCAATTGAAATGAATAATGCGCGAACTGAGCTATTTTGTATTTTATAAGTTTTTTTTATGATATTGATAATTATTGTTTTAACCGTTATATAATTTTTCGTGCATGTTACACATGTCACACATGTAACATATGCTATACTTGCCTTCATCTATAGGAGCAGCAGCCACCGCGGTAAAAGTAAGGAGTAAAGCAAACATGGTTGTTTGGTGGGGTCTGATCATAAAACAAAATTAATTCCATTATATATAGTCCGAGTTCACATTGTTATCAATGCCATTAGGAAACACAAGTGAATAGTCATGCTGTATGTTAGAGATAAGGTAGAATTAGGTTGTACATATAAATGACCTTTATCTAGAAACAAGCCAAATCCGAAATTGAATTCTTTTTATCATAATCATCAATTTAAGTTGAGGATTTTTTTAATGACAGCACATGTTTTACTGTAAAATCACTACAAAATGATTAAATATCACTCTATAAATTGCGTCTTAATATATAAAATATAAAATGATTCCGAAAATGTACGTGCAACGAGACGCCTCAAAATAATAATAATGATACTGACGAAAACGATAAGACCACAATTACAGAAGCAAGTTCTGTCTGTTGCCTATATAATTATGATAAGATATGTGATAATTTAAGAGATTTTATAGTATAACATCTGTCTATAGGAATTAATTTCCGGTGAAAGGTTGTATATTTCTTTCAATTTTTGTGTATTTGGTTTTCGAGGGGCTTTGCCTCAAATGCAGCAAAGAATAAATTTGAAAAGAAGAATTGTTGTTTCCTATTACCGGCTACGGTCAATCTGTTGACTGAACTCTTTTGTCATGCGAACATCTAAATGTTTTATCAATATGAATAGTAAGAAAGGTTATTATGAATAAATAGATATAAGAGGCAAACGTAAATGAAACGACAACCCAAGGACACAAACAATGAAAACACATCTAGAGGTCAACAAACATTCTTCAACAAAAGATTATAGGTGGCAAGCTTAAAAACAGTTGTGAAAACTTTAACACAGAGACTACCAAAGCTGTGACATCAACGCCAAACTCTCCCAATGACAAAACAAAAATAAACAAAACAAAACACAACAACAAACCATGACAAAAGACAACCATTGACGTGGTTCCTGACTTGGGAAAGGTTCATTGACTTGTGGCAGTAGTTAAAATGTTTTTAAGATCTAAACCTTGTTCTTAATAATTTCGACGAAGTGAACTAACAAAATGTGCTTAAATTTACATACACACATCAACAAAAGGTAAAACACTTGACTAGATATAATACCGGTATCATAAAAGTACTAAAAAGTACAAACTTAATAAGAAATAATATATTATCAAAGAATGTTCAAATTAACTAAAAGCAAGCTGAATGATGTAGGGTTGTCAATGAGACAACAAATCTGAATGACCCCCCCCCCCCCCCCCCCCCCTACACACACACCTAAAAAGACATTTAAGGTCAACAGAGATACGGTTCTAAACAGGAGATAAGTATATACACAATATGTCAAGCCGAGTCTAAAATTTGTTTAGTTGTTTATAAAATGATCTCAATTTTCCAAAATACATAGGATATCCCGGGGTACATAACTGGGTTTAGTTTCATTCGTCTGAAGCGTATATACGAATCCTCCACAAGTCGCGTTCGTTTGGCTGTGCGGAATAGGAATAATAAAACTTTATGCCATGTGTATTAGAAAGTGCCACGCTCATTGCTATTTAAAACTTTCACCTGTTGATTCTTTTTATTCATACACGTAATTCACATCTTAGTTTTTGCATACACTGAAAAGACTGGCATGAATACTTGTACTAGGATTTGGTTTTAAAATATCTATCATTGAAATCATAAATTAATGAGTTTAAAAAAGTTGAATTTCAAGACTACCTGTACTTGTTATCGAGATAATAGAACAGCACCACAAGTAAACACCGAAATCAGGTCTTATCCAACTTATCTTCCTTTTCCAGGGGCAGTCCAAATCTCAACCTGGTCGACCCAATCTCCACAAAATACTTTTAAGATTTATTGGTAATTTGTTCTCGTCTTGAATATGCAGGAAATATTTTCTACTGGACATTAAGCAAACAACAATATCATATCAAGACCAAGATCCCAACCAATCAATCAACCATCCAAAATAATGTCATAAACTTTTTAAATAAGTGTATACCCATAAAAAATAGTTCATTTTGATTGGATAACGTCACGAATGTTCATGGCATCAATTCGCAATTGATGCTATGAAAACGTACGCGTAAGCGCAGACGACGTATGACAGATTTTAAATGAATGATTTGACGTTGTTTCTGGTCAGTTTCATTAGAAGGGAGCTAACAGTATTGAATTTTAAGTTCCGACGGCATCAATTGATGATTTGTTGGTCGAAAATACCCGTTTACTGGCTCAGCTAACGCGTCGCCAGTAAACTCAATTTACGACCATCAAATCACCAATTGATGCCGTCGGAGCTTAACATACAATACAGTTATCTCCTAAATGTAAACATAGTCAAATAACACGAAATTATCAAAATCTAAAAATAATGCTATAGATCTTTGCTCTGTTTATAAAAATAAGGAGGTGTGGAATGATTGCCAATGAGACAACATCCACCAAAGTTCAAATGATATGGATGTAAGCAATTATAGGCAACCGTACGGCCTTTAACAATGAGAAAAACACATACCGTTTGATCGGCTATAAAAGGCCCCAGCATGAAAAAAAGTAGGATAACAAAAATTACCGAACTCCGAGGAAAATTCAAAACGGAAAGTCCCTAATCAAATGGCAAAATCATAAGCTCAAACGAATTGATAACAACTGTCATATTCCTGACTTGGTGCAGGCATGTTCTTATGTAGAAAATGGTGGATTACACCTGGTTTTACGGCTAGCTAAACATCTCACTAGTATGACAGTCGCATAAAATTCCATATATTGACAACAATGTGGGAACAAGCCAAAATGACATATTAGGTAACAATATCAAAAATAGGGGTACAGCAGTCAACATTGTGTTATAATCTTACTCACTATAAAACAAACAAATATGTCAACAAAGAAAAGATATGAAACAATTCAATTGAGAAAACTAACGGCCTAATTCAAAACAAAACAATTTACAAAAAATTAAATATGACAGACATGGACCAACGGCAACCACTGAACTACAGGCTCCCGACTTGGGACAGGCGCATTAAAAAATGTATATTTAGATGATCTGAGAAAGATTGGGAAAAGGTTTTACAGTTTTGCAGCCAAATGAAGAAAGTTAACACACTGTTTTGTACCACTTTATACCGTATCATTCAGCAAAATCAAAACAGGATTTGAACACGTTTTTATTTGCTTCAACAGTTTATTAGAAATGCAAGGGGAGCAGTATTTATCTTGTTGATAATTAATAAAAAAAATATGTCAATATTATTACTATTTATCAATGACTGGATGTTCCTAGTGATGTGGTTTGTGCATATTTCAACAGATCGAAATCGTATAAATGGTGGGAATGTGTGTTACACGTATTCATTAACTGACAATTGAATGCCTATGTCTATACAGATCATGTCGCTTAATAACTTAGTTTGGGGACTCTGTTGATTGCATATATTTGTTCTTACAATTGAAGTTAAAAAATACCACAGATATAACTAGCTTTGGTTCTCATTGTTTTACTTTACGACACAGCAATACTTCGATTTCCCTATAGTATTATTCATTTGTATGGTGCAATGCTCCACTAAGACTTGCATATCGAGTATTATATATTACTCTTGTGAATATCTGAATAGTAGATGGATGCTGCTTACAAGGATAATACTAAGCAAATGTTTCTTAATTGGTACACATAAGTTGAAGTCATCTCATCAAAATTTTTACGAAGGGCTCATAAATTGGTTGACTTTTATTGAAGTAAAGCCTCTCATTTTAGTTATATATGTCATCAATCTAAATAATAAATAGTAAACCAACCTTTTGGAAATTGACGTTCGTTCAAAATTTTTTTTTTTACCAAAACAATCCAATATATTACTCAGCAAATGGACCAATCTGCCATGCAGACACTGCAATAACAATATCAGCCGACAGATAACGGTGGTTTATTCGATGTTTGGAATACGATTTATAAAATGCGTTTGGTGAGGTTAAATGACATAACGTTTGCCTCTTATATTTTAGCATCGTGTAGGTTGTTTGCAAAATTAACAAGAACATATCAACTGAAAAACACAGTAAAGATATGTTAACTAAAAACAAAAGACGGAACATACCAAAAGGACAACAAGTCAGCAAAAGTCGAAGAAAAACACACAACACCATAGATAAAAAAATGACGAAAATACCAACATCAGTCCAGAAAACGGTACACAGATATCTACGGATTGATCAGCACGAAACCTTACAAAAACCAAAGAGGAAAAAAGGGGATTGATTGCAGGTGCTCCAGAAGAGTAAACAGATCCTGCTCTAAAATTGGCAACATTCGATGATATCACAAACATAGACGTCAATCAAATCATGACGGCGTACGTAAAACTTTATCGTTTGGAACCATTACAACAGTTATCATTGAGCTGGGACATAAATGAAACAATTATTTAAAAACAATTTACTGTTTTATTGTTGTTGCAGCTATTGTCTATTTTTGCATTTATAAATGAAAACAAAGTTAATGTAAAAACGTTTACTATACAATGAATCTGGCCACTGACCACCGGTTGCGATGATGACTTTAGAGTGAACTTATTCTGAAAAACACAAACAAACATTCAAATGACATATTCACAATTCAGTATCACCTATTCATTCTTTAACTTTGGAAAAAAATAATGATGTCTCATTTTTGAATTAAACATTGATTATGATTTATTATGATAGATAGATACATTGAAGAAAATAACTTTTTGACTGTATAATTTGAATGTGTATAAATATAAAGTTATAACAAAAATACCTAACTCCAAGGAAAATTCAAAACGGAAAGTCCGTTATCAAATGGCAAAATCAAAAGCTCAAACATATCAAACGAATGGAAAACAACTGTCATATTCCTGACTTGATACAGGCATTCCTTTGGTATACAATAGTGGATTAAAGCTGGTTTTATGTGCATGTATAATTAATTGGTCAATCATTGTATATATCCTATAAGCTGTACTTGATTTTGGAATAAAGTATTATCATTATAGTTTTATATTATGATTGAGTTAACCTCCTACCTCGGCTTTATAATTGTTCGGTATAAACATTGTGTCCTTGGCAGACCAGTCGAGCATTAGTTCCTTTTATAGGTATCACATCTCCCTTGGCATATACCGTACCATCAAACAAACATCCACCTACAACCAATAATTACATGTATATAGTCTCATTTTCATATTGTTTTGATCAAGTTAAAATTTAAAAATTAATCTTCCAATGCATTGGTTTATAACTCATATAATCTGAAAGGTAAATAAGAACGATCAAATGATTCATTGGCTAGTAGGAATAATTATTTTAATATGAAGTTAACATGTATAGATCTATAGATAACATCCGCGAGGTCTTAAAATCGTTGAGGTTCATAGTATTTTCATTTCAAATTATAACGTCTTACACTATAATTTAGCTATTGAAAAATGTACTTAATATTTCAAATATAAGAACCATAAAACCAAGCGTCAATTTAGGAAGTCCCTTTTTCTGTCTCAAGTCTGTCTAAACATTTGTACATTCTTGGCAGAGCTTTTAATTATAAAGTGAGGCCATTTGACACAACAGTGAACTCATCGCTACGTCAACAAAGACATGGGACTGACTGAAAGTTGGTCGATAAATATCTCGATCTTATATATGTAAAGTCAAAACGGTTAAATAGCACGTAGGTATATATGATACTTAAACAGGTTCACTAGACACTTCTTGAAAGACAAAAAGAAAGAACAGGCAAGTTTCATGACACTGGAATGTGTCATATTCTTTTTTTCTAGATAAAATGATTAAGTGTATAGACAGACACATGCAACAACGAATGGCTACATTTACTCACTTTGTCCATCTAATGAGCGTTTAGTCTGCGGACATATACCACTTAAAAAAAATGAATTGTTACAAAATTAGATTAACGCACTAAAATAAAGTAGATTGGAAATAGAAAATAAAATAATAATGAAGATAGACTTTTAAGCCACAAATCGCTACATGTAGGTTATATAGCACTGATAGTTTTTTTCAGCTGAAACTGAGATTTATTTTTATTAAGGTTGACTCCCATCTTTATTGTAAAAGGTTGTTTAAAAAGAATATTTACGAAAACCATATACGTAGTTCGTAGCGCCAATCAAACTGAAAGCAAGAAATAGAAATTCCAAATAACTATATGCAAAACTGAAGTATTACCGAATTCCATGCATTGTCAACGATAAACGCATAGATAATATATTTAAACAATGACTGTTTATTAAGCAAGAATATTTTACTAGTTGTAGAAAAACAAATGCCAACAAAATGAGTATTTTCTAGTGCTTTTTGCAACACAATGAGTGGTGTCTATACATCGGTGTATATTCATATCTGATGTAAAAGGCTATTTTACAGAAAATGTTTACTTACTACAGCGATGTAATAGGTCCAAGATTATTGTTTCCCAAACATGTCATTTTTCCCAAACAGGATGGTATGATAATTTCCTCATTAGCTGCATACACTGTTCCATCAAACAAACATCCAGCTGAAATTATCATAAAAACATAATGTGTGTGTGTGTATGTGTTAGAGAGAAAAGGGGAACCTCCAAACATTCATCATTTACATTTTAAAACGAAATTTATCAAAATGTCGGAAAAAAAAGATATGGGGTCTCTATCTATGACACAAATCAGTACATGCAAAACAAAAAAAAACACACACACAAAGCAAAGGCACAGCGCTTTTATTGCTGTTCTTCATCTAAAAGTCAGTGTGAGACTTTTAACACGGAGCAATAGTATGACCAACGGAAACACACATCCTTGATGTCATTTATTTAAGTAAAACTATAGTTTTATTACTAAATATTGTAGCTTCATGTAACTCATACGATAAACTTTATACATAATGTTTTTGTTTTATAAATAGTATTAAGGAGAAGTACTGAAGCAACTGTTCACAAAGAAAACTTACTTTGTCCATTTACATCCCGTCTGTCTTTTACTGGACATATTCCGCTGTAAAATAACAATTAAATCATTAAGACGGTCTTGATAAATTGTGATCAGTATTCGTTGTTTATATGTCTCATACTATCTTGTAGTTTTTCTGATATTATTATGGTTTTGCTATCAATGGTACTTTTTATTATTTTTAAAGCTTTTAAAATGAAAAATAAAGCAAATATTAAATCATTATTTCTCAATCTCAAATTGAGAATGGAAATGGGGAATGTGTCAAAGAGACAACAACCCGACCATAGAGCATACAACAGCCGAAGGCCACCAATGGGTCTTCAATGCAGCGAGAAACTCCCGCACCCGGAGGCGTCCTTCAGCTGGCCCCTAAACAAATATGTATACTAGTTCAGTGATAATGGACGTCATACTAACCTCCAAATTATACACAATAAACTAAAATTATAAATGATACAAGACTAACAAAGGCCAGAGGCTCCTGACTTGGGACAGGCGCAAAAATGCGGCGGGGTTAAACATGTTTTTTTAGATGTTTTGTGTAACTCAGCGTACAACCCCACACACAAAAGAAAATAAAAACAATTTCTCCTAAATCATTGTCAATATTTAAGGTGAAGTTGTGTTTTTCTTATTTTATCGTTGTATGATTTAAGATTTAAAAAAGACAACTGTCACTTTGTAATTATTATAGTGATCTTTACTGACGGATAGCGGAATGACTGCAAATTACTTCGACCGCTAATTTGTGAATTAATTCATAATTCGGTAAATTCTATTGCATACGTATCTTCAAAAACATCTATAATTTAGTGAAGGATTCTTGTCAAGGAAGGATTTGCTTACCCTTCCGGAGCACCTGAGATCACCCCAGTTTTTGGTGGGGTTCGTGTTGCTCAGTCTTTAGTTTTCTATGTTGTGTTTTGTGTATTATTGTTTGTTGGTCCTTTTCTTTTTTAGCCACGGCATTGTCAGTCAATTTTATGAGTTTTAATGTCCCTCTGGTATCTTTCTCCTCTCTTGGTCAAATAATTTTGTTGATTCGTAGCGCGTCGTGTTGAACTTATTGTGATATCTGTTTTTTACTCTATCAGTCTAAATGTCCCTCTGGTATCTTTCGCCCCTCTTTCATTATCTTTTGGTGACAAACAGAAATAACAGCTCTTAAATTTAAATATAAAGTCAATATCAGTATTTCATATGTTTTATTTCTATACCATATTCTTTCACTTTGAGTTATATAATATACAATGGATTGCAACTCTTTTTTCTTGTTGTTTGTTTTGTCTTATTCAAACATTTACAGCATCAAATACACAGAGTAAAATGCATACTACATATCTTATATAAAAGCCCAAATTACTGACCCAAGACTTTTAAGCTCTCTATAGGCATTGAATCCCAAACATTCCATTTGAGCCAAACAATGGCTGATTGTGATAATGTCGTTCTTATTGTAAATTCTACCGTTAAACAAACATCCAGCTGAAAATTAAAAAACGGAAATACAAAAATATAGGGTTGTAAATCATCTCATTTTTTTTTTAACAATTTGTTATATATAAAAAAAAGATGATGTGGTATGATTGCCAATGCGACAACTCTCCACAAGAGACCAAATGACACAGAAAGTAACAACTATAGGTCACCGTACGGCCTTCAACAAAGCCCATACCGCATAGTCAGCTATAAAAGGCCTCGAAATGACAAATATAAAACAATTCAAACGAGAAAACTAACGGCCTAATTTATGTACAACATAATGAACGAAAAACAAATATGTAACACATCAACAAACGACAACCACTGAATTACAGGCTCCTGACTTGGGACAGGCACATACAAAATATGGCGGGGTTAAATGCATATTTTTTTTTTCATTTTTCGGAGTACTTGCAGAGTTTATTATGAGATGAATGTTAACATACAATACATTATGTTAAAGTTGATGATCTCAACCAAAAATTAACACATTAATCTATAAAAAGAGTATTTAAACATCACATCAGAAATATATCAATCAATAGTCACTTCGATAAAACGCAAAAAGGCGGAAGATATCAAGGGGTCATCCAATACTCCGAAGTCGAGAAAAAGGGACAAATTCCATGGCAAATATAACAATACACCTTATCGCTATTTGTCCGCCATTACTGGTCATCACAAAGGTTCCGGTAAAATTTTGACGTCATAATAGAAAATAACTGACGCCACAATGGAAAAGTGATTGTTGTATGACGTCAATAGTTCAAGAGGTGCAGATTCTCGGGTCAAGCGGCGCAGACTTCCAAATAGCAATAAGGTGTATAGCACCTTTATGATATTCTGTGTCGGTCCCTGGTGAAAAAATAAACACAATGGTGTCCTATAAAAAGCTTTCCATAAGGAATATCATTTTAAAAATCTGCTACAATGATTTTTAGCTTGTGTTTCGTCTGTTTTTTTTTTATAATATGTATGCCTCAGATTAAAAATAGAGTTTGGGCAGCCCAAAACATAAAACATTGAAAAGCATCAAAACCGAAAAGGCCCAAAACAGGAAAGCCAAAGTAGTCAACTATCCTCAACGCTGTTTATCTTAATTTTACGTCAAATACATAATATATAAACGGAAACTTTACAATCAACGTGTGTTTTCTATCAACAAGCAAGTACTGAAGCTATTTTACAATCATAATTTAATATCCAATTTATCATTTATGCCAATTTTAACAGATAGCAAAATCACTGCTAAAGTTATCAGTAGTATCTTTATAATTCAGACTGTTAGTTTTACCTACAAATGAAGGTCAAAAAAGAATTAGAAAACCTGAATTATGTGTTTGCTGGTGTCATGATGGGTTTTTGATGATTTTCATCTTATTTTTTATTATTTGCAAATGAACTTACTTTGTCCAGTTGATCGTTTAGTTGAAGGACATACGCCTCTGAAAATACAAATAAGGAATGTAAGCATGGTAAGATTATTTATTACAACTGACGTCTGCTGCCTTGTTACAATCGATTTATATTCGTTGCCGCGAATCGAACTAAAGGCTTCACAATTTTAATAAAATAATAGTTATTAGTAGGTAAAAGATAAAAGATGAAAGTGTTTCGATTATTTATATTTAGAAAGCGACTATTTGGTTTTTAAACTATCCTAATCATGATTATTTCGCAAACGAATTTTTTTTAAATATATTTGAAGAACAGATAATAGTACCCATATTGTTCCAGGCTTGTATATACATTGTTACCCATACATGTCATGGCACCCAAGCAGTTACTGATGATGATTTTATCTCCGGTAGCGTACATTGTACCATCGAATAAACATCCTGAAATAAATCTTTGATTAAAGTTTCATCTGTTAAATTAAAAAAAAAACGAATAAGATAAAACGAATTCTACATGAACTGATCTATCTTGTTTTTCTGAGTTTATTTTTATAATTATTGATTGATTGTTGGTATTTAACCTAACTTTCAGCACTTTTGGCTATATCGTGTACCCGGGAGAACCACCGGCCTTCTCCAACAAAACTGGAAATCCTATTTAAGAAAGATCGGTTTCGAACCACTTGCATGTTTCAAACTCAGTGTTGACCGGCTAGTGGTATTGTAGATGATCTACGTAGACTACTCTGTCACCATGGATATTGATTATTATTTTAGTCACCGTTATACAATTTTACGTACATGTTAGTCTTAGATGCATGATTTTTGTTATTAATTGTTATTGGCTTTGAACTAGCTGTCAGTAACTGCGAGTACTTTCAGATCTATACTTTTTGTCTTTTTTGTTAGGGATGAGTTAAGCTCTTTTCAAACTGATTTTTATAGTTTGTTATAATGTTGTGCTGTAACACCACAATTCCAGGTTGGGGGAGGGTTGAGTGCTCACAAACATGTTTAACTCCACCACATTCTTTACGTGCCTGTCCCAAGTCAGTAGCCTGTGGTTCAGTGGTTGTTGTTGGTTCGTGTCTGTCATATTTGCTTTTCGTAAATTGTTTTGTTAAAAGTTAAGACGTTAGGTTTCTTAATTGAAATTTTTTCATATTTTTCTTGTCGGGGCCTTTTATAGCCGACTATACGGTATGTGGTTTTCTCATTGTTGAAGGACGTACGGTTGCCTATAATTGCTTACATCCACTTCATTTGAACTTAAGTGAAAAGTTGTCTCATTGGCAATCATACCACATCTTCTTTTTTTTATATACATATGTATACTTGCCTTCCTCTATAGGAGCAGCAGCCACCATGGTAAAAGTAAGGAGTAAAGCGAACATGGTTGTTTGGTGGGGTCAGATTCTAAAAGAGCTTATGAAACATAATTCATTTCATTATATATAGTCCGCGTTACGTAAGGCCCACATTGTTACAAATGCCTTTCTGAAACACACGTGGATAGTCATGCTGTAGGTTAGAGATAAGGTAGAATTAGGTTGTACATATCAATGTTCTAATCTAGAATCAAACCAAATCCGAAATACGAAGTCTGTTTGGTTTGTTGCAGATATGATTTTAGTTAGTTGCGTGATATCTTTATTGGATTTGAAAGAATAACATCTGTTTATAGGAAACAATTTCTCCTTAAAAATTTGCTTACTTCTTTCAATGTTTGGGTATTCATTTGCCTTTAATAATAGCTTTACCCCTCACATGAAGCTAGAAATCTGAAATAGGTAGTGATAATTTCTTTTCTTTCTATTTCCGGCTACAGTCAATTTGTTGACTCAGTTGTTATGTGAATACTTTAGATTTGGAAATATAAATACTAAGAAAAGTTAACCCAACGATATAATAACAAAAAGGAATGTAGAGGTCAATAAAAGACATGTGGCTATGACATATTAAAAAAAAAGCAAGAAAATATATGAATGAATTTAACAGAGGCTATCAAAGATGTGACATCAACACCAAATTCTCAAAATGACTAGAAAAAAAAAACACCGGAAAAAAAATATTAGAATATTTGAAAAGTAACCATTTGCATGGTTCTTGGCCAGGGACAGGAACATGAACAATACCATATCAAAGAGCTTATGTATTGTCAATATATAAATGCCAATATTTCGCGATCAAACATTGATTTATCGAAATACTGCATATAAAAGAAGATGTAGGCTATATGTCAATGAGAATACAAAACCCAATGATACACACTGACTTACACAAACCAAAAGACATTCAATGGTCAACGTACATACGGAAAATATATTACATAGATATAAGAAGATGTGGTATGAGTGCCAATGAGACAACTCTCCATCATATACAAAATATGTCAAACTGAGTCTGAAACTTTTTTTAGTTGTAAATGAAAGTATCTAACCTTTTCTGTAATAAAATGTCCCGGTTCCAGCTCCGCAAAAGGCGTCCGTTTGGTTGTAATGAATAGAGACATATCAAATTTGAAGTCTCGTGTAGTATATAAGTATGAAACTCTTTGCACGTTAAGAACTCAGGTAAAAGCTCACAGTTAGCATGATGAGAAACAAAGTGTTTGCCCTTTTCCAACATGCCCTCCCTTTCAGGGGCAGTCCAGATTTAATACTGGTCGACCCAATCTGCACAGCATACCTACAAATTTTTTTGGTTATTCGTTCTCATGTTAAATATGTATGAAATATTTTTCACTGGACATTAAGCAAACAGCAATCAACCAATACAATGGCATAAATGGATGTATACCCATATAAAAAAGTTATCATCTTTAAAAGAAACGAAAAAGTTTCCTACAAAAGGTCTAGTTGTTTAAAAAAATCATTGAATGATTATATTCTTACCTATTACTAATCTGTCAATTTATCATGATTTTGATTTTGATTTAGGAAGTAATAGCATGTGTTACTTTTCTTGTGTTTTTATTCGAGGACAAAAATAAAGATCAGAAATACCAAAAGATCATGATACGAGGAATGATAAAAAAGCCCATCACCATTTAAAGAAAGCGACAGAAAAACAAACAATCATGTTTCATATTTTTCATGTCGGAGCCTTTTATAGCCGACTATACGGTATGGGCTTTTCTCATTGTTGAATGCCGTACGGTTGCCTATAATTGCTATATCCACTGCATTTGAACTTTGGTGGATGGTTGTCTCGTTGTCAATCATACCACATCTCCTTATTTTTATATGGTACAAATTATTTTATAGACCGTAGTAAAATCAAGGTTAACCATAAAGAGGTTCTACTATTGAACTTATTTTACAACGGGGCCATGAAAACATTAAAAGAATTGTTTGAGCTCTGACAATAATATGTCGTATTTTTAACATTGCAATTAAATTGTAAATGCGTTTATATTTTTATAATGTTTGAGTATTGATACGAAAAAATGAAAAATAAATATGTTAGCCCGTTCGAATTTGACTGAGCTGATTCCGCTGAGACATGTAAAACTGGGCATAACTTAAATTCAACGGAGAAAAAAAAATCTGTAATATTTACTCTGTTTTATTCATAAGGACCAGAAAATGTTGCAAAAATTAGTCTGTGTCCAAGATTTATCCGTCACAAAATGGTTGAATGTCACGATTCTTTGATGCCAAGAGATTTATTGTATAACTACTTATAACTGCTCCCCATTTGATTCTTTAATAAGAGTTTGAATACTCTGTTAAGCCTGCACTGAGCATAAATAGAATGGGATATTCTGTGGCACCGTCCTTTGATGATCATTGCTGGCTTGACATAGATTCCATTATCTTATACAGATTTTTTTTTGTTCGAGTTTGACTGATCTGCATCAAGTACAAGTTGGGATTTCCCTTTAAGCATCGACTCTTTGAGCTTACTGCATACACTTACCTGGTGCGCTTGGATCCATTTCAACATACTATTAATTGACTTATAATACATTTTTGTTATTTTGGTATGTTTTTTTATTGCATGTCTATTGTCTAGATTGCTTGTTCTGCAATTTAAAAAAAACGATACAATAAGTATTGTTTATGTGTAATATGCCCTCATGGAGCCCTAACTTGGTGAATAACACATCTTATTCCATTCTATTCTATGTTTACAATAGAAAAATGTGAGGTAATCATATGGTCAACATTTTAAGATTAACTTTATTTAAAATACCAGTTTCTTTTTATTAAAATATCTTTTACATTTAACCTAGTATTTTTATTTATAAATATTTCCGCTTTCTTAGTCTTAGTCGCTACCAATTTGATTTCTACTTAGACAATCCATAAATGTAAACATTGCAAGTAACACAAAATAAATCTGAAATAATTGCAATAGAGATCTGTGGCTAGTTATGTGACATGAGTATGATCGATAAAAGGTTTTAATAGTTTTGTAACCACATGAAGTAAGTTTTGCATGCTTTACTTTTTTAACTTGTACCCATGTGATTGAGACCTCGGACACAGATGTGTATATTATATTCTCGGTTCGATTAATCATTAATTTACGAAAGATTTTAGCTACTACGAATCAACTGACCAAATCCACAACGTTCACTACACATTTTTTTCTATCTGATACGGTTCCTCTCACTCCAACAGCTGACATTTTTTGTTTGGTTTGTTAATAAACAAACGTGATGTTCGTAGCTGAACTTTAAAACATTCACCATGCAATCTCCCAATCACAATGAACAAGTTGAACGCACTTATATCATATATTGTTATTAGCACATTATTTTTAGTAACGTTTATTTCTATTCTTTATTATATATTTATACATTTTAATTACAGAAATCTTTCAACTCTGTTGATATAAAAGTATTGTACAAATATTTTATTATTAATTAATTTAAAGGGGCACTAGCTACGAGATATATAAAAAATCTAAAGTACGATTTTTTTTGTTCGATCAATAATGAAAGTGAAATAGTGAAATAATAATTCGTATTTAGCAGCAAGTATGGTTCAATTTTGATAAAATAAGCTAAGAAACATTGAAGATTAATTATTCACTTGCAAGTGAATAATTCGACCTCATTGAATCTATATTCATGTGAACTTCAATTTAACCCCTTAGCTAGAGATGGATAACGCATGAATCGTGCGTGATCAGTCATTTAAAGGAAAAGAATGTCAATATTGAAAGTGAAACAAAGGTATATCATTTGATTGTACGACTTTGCCCCCAGCAGAGCTATAGAAAAACAGTACATTAACGGGTGTTACACGGACACTTTTTAGATGATACACGGACACTTTTTAGTTGTTACACGGACACTTTTTATGAATAGAATCACTCGTGCATGATCAGTGAGTTCATGGGCACTTTAAATTTCAATTAGATTTGAACTTTTTGTTTCACCGACATATTTCCTGTCTTTTTAATTAAAATATTTACGTTAGCATCAATAACTATATTTTTTTTCAAACAATTCCAGTAACTATTCATATTAGTACACTAAGGGATTGACCATTTAACTTCAAAAGGTGGGTTATGGTTTTTTCCTAAAAAAAAATTTGATCCCCAAATTTATGAGAAAAAATATATAATATATTATATAGTTGAAAAACTAAATAATTTTCTTACTCAGAAAAGAACACACCCCCTTTTGAAGCTAAATGGTCGGTCCGTAAATGTGTTTTTTTTTTCAATATATGGACATGAATAGTATTCTGGACAATGCTGAAAGAAATACTGGTACCAACGTTTATATTTCAAGAAAAAAGACAGGAAATATATATAAAAGAAATCAAATCTAATCAAAAGATAAAATCCCTATCAACTCACCAATGCAAGATTGATCCTATAAATAAAAAGTGTCCGTGTAATACATGTTCAAAAAGGCAGCAAATCTTGAAGAAAATCATTCAACTTATGTCATCAATTTTGGACGGTAAGCTCTGATTGGATCATATAATGACACGTGTTTAATCCTGATCAACACTATCAGAGACATATAAAAACCTATAAGCATGAACATTTTTTTTAATCCAAAATATATGCCTATATATATCTAATAACAAGACAAAATCCAATTTTTCATAACATCTCATTCACTAATGAGATAGGAAATTCATTCTTTTGATACACTTATATATAGTTATTGAATTCATATATATTGAATTCATATATTTGACGGCAAACGCACGATTTTTACGAATTTTTTAGGGGGAATTTATCTTAACTCCCCCTTTTCCCCCAATAAAAATCAAATGGTAGCTTGCTTACCTCTGAAATCTTTTTTTATACATTACTTACTTGCGAAGTTGCATTTCAAAAAGTCTCAAATGTGTATAACATTCACCTTTAACTTGAAATGGTTCTTTTTATAAAGTTATTAGATTTTTGAATTTTTTGAGAAAAAAACTCTCGGCTGAAGGGAAGTGAGAAAAAAAAATTGAGTTTAAACTGTTACTTACATTAACTGGTATATGGCCATTTAAGTTTCTAATATCTTTAGTTTTGCTACCTCTTCTAAATGTAAAATGTACTTCTTCCTTCTTGAAACGTCGTACAAGTCAGATACAAAACAAAGGTAACAAAAAACAGGCCGGAAACAACCTGCCGTATAGTTTGTCTGCACTTGTAGTCAGGTCAAGGTCCTCGGCTATCGCATCGGACCTTGACCTGACTACTCGTGCAGAAAAACTATCCGGCAACGGTTGTTACCAGCCTGTTTCTTTGTTACCTTTGTATTGTATCTAATACTTGACTGATTCGATCCACAAAAATGATTCTTATACAGGTAAAAACGATGATTAACACATATTTTTAACCTATAATATGAAATTAAATAGACCTAGAAAAATCCAATTGCACGGGTTCGCTTAATCTATATCTATATTTATGTTTATATACCTGATATGGCCATCGGAGTTTTTCGGAGGTCAACTCGATAGTTAATTAGATGGCGTCTAGACTAAAATACATACGAAACGAAGCTACATATTATCGAGCCCATACTTGGTAAATTGTTTATTTTAAACTTTTAATAATTTGGATAAATGTTTTACATTGTTATAAATCAAATATGAGAATTTGAGCCAAATCGGTGAACATGAATTTGACAGCTAGTGCCCCTTTAAAATTCAAATAATAGCCAGGCTAAATTGTCCTTACGTTAATTTAATTTCATGAGAATTTAGCCATAGATAAATCAACACTGAACTTACAAGTAAACATCAACAAAGCATTATCTGCATTTAAATACGATTTCAAAATCGACCATGTAAGTGAGGCAGAGCACATGCAGAGGGAATTAACCTCACCTCTTTCTTTTGATTTGACGCTCACGATAGCTTGAAGAATTGGGTTTGAAAAAATAATGAAAACGTGAAAAATCGAGTGACGAAAATTGTCACCCTTGCAAACCCTGTAAAATTCGATGCTTCAAATGGTTCTTCAAGTGTGCGCTAGGCAAGACCTCCATTTAGACCCTCTTAACTGTGATGGATATTTTCCGGAGACAATTGTTCATATGTTTCTTAGATGAAAAAAAAAACGTTCTGCTAAATTGAAATATTGAAAACAAATAAAGATAAAAACAGAGTTTTCATTTCAGGTTATCATTTCCCTTTAAATAGAGCAAACGATTAGAACAATTGCAGGCTGTAGGAGTTTTGTGTAAAATTGGTTTAAATGTAGCTTTGCGAATAAATTCAATTCCATTTTCTACTTGCTGTTTTACTATTTACTTTTCTAATAAAAAGTGCTTTTGGGAAACACACCACAAATATTTTCAAATACAGTATATACATTAATATTTACAAAAGCCTTAATTCTATTTTGGTGGAAATCCTTTTAAATTACTATAAGTTGGACCATCACCTATAAGAGTCATTCATACTAGAGAATGTCTATGGAAAACTTTCACGTATATTCAGCTGATAATTATCATTGCAGTAACGGCTATAGATTGTATCATTTCATAGTATAAATCTTATTCCTTTTTGAGCAATTTCGTATTTCTTACGTTAAGGCTATAACATAACGTTCTTGTAATTGTTACAATGTCTCTATAATTTTGTTCTTTTGAATGTTATTGCAGACGAAAGGTTAAATGTATATCTCGCTCTGTACCGAAGACATGACACTGTAATAGGAAATGATTGGTATTCTCGCTGTTTGCTCCACATAGAAAACATGTTTGATCTTCTCGACCTGTTGTGAATTTTGCTCTATCCTATTGTAATGTGTAAGTACTTGTAACAAGGCTGGCTTTGATTTTCGGTCGTTGTTCTAGGCACTTATTGCCAGTTTGTGGTGAGGCTTTCTTATAGAAAAAAGCTTTATATTCAGTCAAAGCATTGTGGATTTAGTTTCTTTCTCTGCTATCCACTGTTTCTCCAAATACATGTTTAATGCCTATCTCTGAAACAATGTTGTTTTCAATCTGTTAATAAAATGTTGTCAATTGACGTTGAGATGCATACATTGTACATGTGTAAGTGTCTCTCTTTGATTTTAAATTCAGTAGTTGTATGTCCTTGTATAATTCCACAAAAAAATCTAAATACAAGACGATCACGAACTGCCTGCATATGTTGTACCCCAAGTTTAATGTAGGTAGCAGTATTTGCTGCGTAGTTTGGCAGTCCTTACATTCGAAGGCAAGATCTGTAATAGTAGTCGTTCTAGTTTTTGTTTGCCAGTTGCTGTTTTATTCAGTATCTCTATACCACATACGCTCTTCGGTATTGCATATGTTTGTCGTGTTTTAAGGAAAACAACTTCATGGCGACATTCCCTTACGTGCGTGTAGCCTCGGTCCTAAAATCGCATAAACAGTCGTGCAATTTTTAGTCTATCTTCTATTTTGATTCTATTCTTATAGTTTCAAATTATATTTACCCCTAAATGTTTTGTTTCAGATTTTTGTTCTATTTTAGAATTTCCTAGTTTAATAATAAATGGTTGTGTTTTGTAGACCGTTGTTTGTGTTTTCGTCGTTTTTCTAGGTTTTTTTTGCCATTGGGTTGTCAGTCTGTCACCGACTTTTTAGTTTGAATCTTCCTTTGGTATAACACGCCTTTCTGTTTTTAACTGATAGTTTCTTACATTTCCTTTGAAAACCACTAAATCAGATTTATTTAGATTTATTGTTACAAGGTCTTTACCCCTATTATTATAAACTTTATCTAGCAATGATTGTACTTTGTTCTCACGGCTGGCTAGCAAAGCTCTGTCATCTGGTGCCCTACATTTATGTTGCCAATTGTTGCACCTTAATCTGCTCGTTCTAAAGCCTATAGAATAATATCATTATATAGTGTATTTCGTAGCTCTATCTGTCGAATACCAGCTGTGTATCTAATGCGAGTAAAAAGTAGTAGCTTTGTTTGTATTTAATCGTAGTAGTCCGGATTTTGTGTCACGTTAAAAGCTGCATTTGATAAAGATGATTTTTCTGAAAAACCTCGTTTAAGTTAACTTTGATGTTGTAGTAATATGGGTTCTTTTCTCTTTATGTCACAGGAACAACCAAATGCCCAGTACACATATGAAACTAGACCAGGGTTCTTCAGGAAAATTCAGGATCCTAATGCCATTCTCTCAATACACAATGGAAATATACAAAATGAATTTTCATGTTCAAAAGCTTCACATATGATTCAGATAAAAGTAAAGTTGTGGTTTTGAAATGACATTTAATTAAGGTTGCTACTCACGCAAACAAACTATTGATTTTACGACGTTGATAGCTGGAAGAGTTAATTTTCCCCCTAAGCTCAAGTTATCTATGTAATGCTTTGCCCTCTTTACTCTTATTTCAAAGTCGTTTCCTTTATGAAAGCCATCAAAGTAAATAACTATTCGAATACAAATATTTTCTCTACAGGTTAATTGATGAATGACTACAGGAAATACATTTTATTTCTTTCAAACAAATTATAAGATGTTTAAGGAAGAAAGGCTATTTTTGGAAACACAGTTTTGAAATTACATTTAATATCATGATCATTTTATAACAAAATAGGCATGTTGGACTTTTTTAAAGCTTACAGCAAAATGGTATGAAAATTGACATTCAAGAAATATAAACTATTTGTATTTCAGATCCTCCTGTTGGTTAATTGAGAAACTTTCCTGTTTGGAACTTCAGTACTGACTCATATCACATAGTTAATCATTCATGCGTAAACTATTGCTTTCAATACACATATCGAGGTTTTCAACTATGAACGTTAAGAAGCCTCCGATTTCTGCTATTGAAGTGCGATCACTGCCTTCTAAAGCAGTGTTTAGGTCGAAGAAGACTGAGGTTTTACAAAGTAATTCATCTCAGTTATCTATGGATGGCGTCGTCAACTTAGAAGTAGGCAACTCAAAAACTGAAAATTCTACAGCCAACAGAGTCGACACAGAATTTGTGACTAAAATGTCACACGAACATAGTTCTTTACTGTCGAAATGGAAACCTATTACCAAAAAGAAATACATTTTACCGAAAAATCTATTGAAAAAGGTAACTACTATCATACACATGGTATATACTACTAACGGAAATATAAGTTTTAATCAGGTCGTGGACACACACTCGGAAACCAATAAACTGACTAGCTCAAAAGTTGCGAGAAAAACTAGTAAGAACTGTTTTGATAAACAAGTAATTGAAAGGGAAACTAAGACAAAACCGTTGAGCAAAAAAACTTCGAAAATGACAGATGTTCAAGATGAGCAAGAAAACACGCATTCTAAATCGAAATTAAAAAAATCTGTGGTCAACACTCAGAAGTATACTGTAAAAGGTCAGAAGAATGACACGAAATCCACCAACAATGAAAAAACAATTAAAAATGAAAACAGTCATAAGTCAATTCAACAGGGACATTCTGTGGAACAAAACAGTCAATCAATGGTGAAAGTCAAAAGTTTGGCTGCACCATACAAAACATCCTCGCGAGATATGCACAATAAAACAGACAAAGATGATGAAACATACCGTCTGGTAAATGTAAATGCAAGGGACAAGAAAAGGAAAGATTTAAATGTAGAAAAGAAATCGGAAAACAATTCTACAGAAGATAAGAAAAAGAAGAATGGTAAACCTACAAGCAAAATTAATACACATGATGTCAAGGGACATAAGCTAAAAGAAGAAAAGATCCCTAATACAGTTTCACTAACGAAATCGGAGCATGATGTAGACCGGGAAAAGGGGGATAACAAAAGAATGTTGGGAAACGGTATTAAATCAGCAAAACCATTAGAAAGTCACATTACAGATGATATTGACGATGATTTCTTGCCAATGATATCAACTGATGTTTTACAAAGTGATATCAATAATGAGGATTTTGGACCATACAACTTAGAAGATCTCTTTAAAGGTGAGCGTCATTACTTTCATTTTTATTGGATTAAACATGATTTTCTTTAAAACGTCCGTATCATTTCAGACATTAATACATTGAAAATCGAATTCGCCATGTTCTAACAATGATCTGGTATACATTAACTACACAATTGTTGAATTCAGTTTTAATATTAATATATTATCATTTTGATCTGTACCTTTATTTTCACGTACCGTTCAGTATTAAATGAGAAGTGCAAAATGTAAGGAATGAATTGACCTCGAGGAATTGACAGTACTAGTCTGACTTAACCGTTTTTCTGTTCAATCATATAAACACTTCAGTCTCAAATCTATTTTTATACACATAAAACGCACACTGTTGTAGAGAAATTTACAAACACAAAAAAAGAAAAGGTAAATTCAAACTAATTTATAATATGCATGTACTATTCTAATCCTCCTAAGGTTAACTCAAAAAATTTAACTATACAAAACATAGGTATTTTGGATAACAAATATGAGAAATGGAAGAAAAGAGACAATAGACAAGCAAAGAAGAAAGCAAGAAACTACCATGACGACAAAAAAGAACGAAGAAAACCTCCAAACTACTTTGTTTCCATACAGATAACAAATCCAGAGGTATGTTGTATTTATTTCCCCAGGACTTGTATTCTTGCGTCAGCATAACAAACATTCCATATTTTGTTTCAATTCCAAACCACATGATTTATTATTTCTTTTTAATGGAGTTTTATCCTACATCTTTTACATATTTTTATTATACACGTGTATTTCTTTCTAATGGGGTTTTATCCTACATCTTTTACATATTTATTATACACGTGTATTTCTTTCTAATGGGGTTTTATCCTACATCTTTTACATATTTTTATTATACACGTGTATTTCTTTCTAATGGGGTTTTATCCTACATCTTTTACAGATTTATTATACACGTGTATTTCTTTCTAATGGGGTTTTATCCTACATCTTTTACATATTTTTATTATACACGTGTATCTCTTTCTAATGGGGTTTTATCCTGCATCTTTTACATATTTTTATTATACACGTGTATTTCTTTCTAATGGGGTTTTATCCTGCATCTTTTACATATTTTTATTATACACGTGTATTTCTTTCTAATGGGGTTTTATCCTGCATCTTTTACATATTTTTATCATACACGTGTATTTCTTTCTAATGGGGTTTTATCCTGCATCTTTTACATATTTATTATACACGTGTATTTCTTTAGCTTTTATGTTTCCATTTTATCTTTCAACAGGATGAATGTTGAAAATAGAGGCTTATCAAATTGTAGATACTTATATGCACGCATTACAAAATTGACAACTTAAATTTAGACGATGATGATGATGGATGACGGTTTCACATCCAGCGGTATGTTAAATGCATGTTCAGGTTGAGAACATGACATTTGCAACCTGCTTTGTACTAGACATACATGCTGAGCCGGTTGATTGCCGTCTGACATAATTATTTTTATGTCCCCGCCGTATCGAAGGTGGCATTAAGTTTTATTCTTGTCCGTCTGTTCATCCGTACGTCCCGAAATTGGTTTCCGTTCTCTAACTTTAGTTTGCCTCAAACAAATGTTATGAAACTTACACGCAAATTGAATGCTTATTATCACAAAACACAGATCAAGTTTGAATTTGGGTGGCATCGCTTTTACCTTCCTAGATTTATGCCCCTTCACAAATGGAAAAAATTGCTGAATTTTTCGTTTCCTTTCTCTAACTTAAGTTTGCCTCAACCAACTGTTATGAATCTTATACACATTGCTTATTATCATAAAACACAGATCAAGTTTGAATTTTGGTGGCGTCACTTTTACCGTTCTTGAGTTAGGCCCTTTACAAATAGAACAATTACTGATTTTTTCGTTGCTGTTCTCTACCTTAAGTTTGTCTCAATCAAATGTTATGAAACTTATTCACAATGTTTTTTACCACAAAACTCGGATCAAGTAAGAATTTGGGTAGCGTTACTTTTACCGTTCTTGAGGTTTGTCCCTTTACAATTATATATGCAAGCGGGGGCATCATATGTGTCCCATTAACACATTCCCCATTTATTTGTTAAATGCGATTACCTTATATCATGTCGTTGGTTTTTAACTGGTTTTTGTTTCGTGTAGTAGCATTACAAAAATAACCATCAAAGATACCAGATGTAAATGTATGTTAATTAACATTACATTTCAAAAAAGCAACCGGAAAAGAGTATACTACTAGTACTATTTATAGGTGGCTATACAGAGAAAACACAGTGAAACTATATTAATTATAATACCATATTGAAGATGCTCCCAGTTACTGAAAGCAAGCGACTTAATCTGCTGATACAGCTTTCATGTCTTCACAAAACATCAACATTATCTTGTGCAAAAACCAACACCACATTGTACAAAATTTCAATATAGAAAATAAATGAAATGCTATAGCTGTGTTTCAAACTCTTTATAAGCGAATGAATGTTAATGCCAAAAAAAATTAACAACAAAGATTGATAGATCTGTCAAATGCAGCAACAGCACGACAACGTCTGTTTCAAAAATACTGAAATAATAACGTTTCTATTCCTGATACCCTAAAGGATTGTTGCTTACAAGGGGCATTTAATGGTAAAGTTGAAGTCATGGCTTTAAAAAGATTTGCAGACTCCATCATGATTATTTTGACGTAATAATATCTAAAGATGTCAACAGAAACGTCTACTTATCGTAGCGTTATCTTATCCTCCATGTTTTCGTTTTGGACATTATTGCTTATAACAGACTTTTTCCAGACCACGACGGATGCGATAGTGGAGCAAGAACTAAACTCTACCAGAGTACCGACCAGAGACCAACCCCGGTTTCAATTTGGTCGTGCTTCACTATATTTTTAGTGTTGTGTAAAGGGTTGTGTTGACTGTTGTTAGTTTGTTTTCTTTTCTTTTACCAATTTTACTTTCTTGTCTTTTTGCGAATTATTGTTTTTGATTGTCACCTTCTCATCTTTCTTTCTAGCCCTGGTCATTTAACCTGTCTTGTTTTGAAATATTTTAGATTTTATACTCCCAATGTTTTGATTGATGCATCTGTTAGACAATTGAAACTTAAAATGGGAAAGGAACGTGTAATACGTGTCATACGTAACAAACGGTATTTTGGATTTGAAGATTACTTAAGGCAAATACCACTGGAGGTTACACTTTCATTTGGAATTCTCAATTATTCAAGAACACTCTAAACTTCTTCAAAATCGATGAAAAAAAAAATACACCAAATAAGGCAGGCATTTTTCCTAGTGTTGTTAAAGAATTTACTGGATAAGAATATGGCGGTTTTTGCAAATTTAGGTTTTCTAATTGATCATAAGCGTCATGATCTTCTTGGGAATCGTTCAATCAGTTGAATCAATATATAACATTATAGTTGAAATAAACGGTGTTCGAAAAGAACTATGGGAGTATTCCCGTCGTCTCGGGAAGGAACTGATATGCTTAAAACCAGCAGGTTAAGTTAGTCGTTCTTTATGCAAGGGAAAAGGCAAATGACTCAATATTCTGAATTCATGTACTGAGAGTAAGTTTTACGTCAAAGCAAACATTGGCAAAATAATCATATACATGATCAAATCTAAAACTCTTCTAATGAGTTTGTGGACCAATTAATTTTCATATGGTAGGCTGTTCTCACCAGTGGCTATAATGAGTTTTTGTTAACGTCTCCGAGGAGACGTTATTAAGAGTTGAATGATGGACAGTCTGCGGGCTGAATGCTTCTTACTGATTGGAAGATATTGCTGACTCTATCCAGGAACGTATATACTGTTCCCAGCTCTATCATAGCTAACTTGTGTTGATTGGTTGGGACAATTCGAAACCTAGTAAATGTCTTTTGATCCCGTAAAGTGTCGGAATTGAACTCTCTATTTTAGCAATTAGATTTTGCCTTGTTACCAATCATGCAAATCGGTACACAGGTAACACTTATCTATAAATAGCCGAAACTCCTGAAACACAACGTTCTATCCAGTCGCTCACTGTTACGTACATATTGTACACGAAAGCATACTTATGAAAACATCGTGCTTTTTTCTTAGCCTAGATTATAAATATTTATACTTAGTAAGATAATCCAAAAGCAATAATCAAAAAATGACTAAAAGGGAGATATGTTCGATTAAATATTAATTTAAACGGGAATTTTTATCTCGGAAAGGGGGTTGCGACCTTTTTATGGTAAAAGCACATATATGTCTCAGTCTGGGAAAAGAAAATACCCCAGCGATCAAATATTTTTTTACAATTAGTATGTCTACACATAGCTATGATGCATGGTTACGCTATTTCGTCATAGGGGATACATTGCTTGACAAATATATAAAGCATTTACGACAGTGATTTTTAATTGCATTTGTATAAATATGATAAGTGCCCCCGCCCCCCCTCTCTTTAGGGTAGGCTTTGGGCTGGTTGAACGTTTTCTAGCTCTCCCTATCAAAAAAGCAGACGATGAAGAACAGAAGACTGAAAAATCGAAAGGGAAATATATATAAAAGAAGAATATAAAACTACTCTCAGACGATGAAAGCAATTATACATGTATGATATCATATTTCGCAAATGCTTAATTTCTATAAATGATTTTAAAGGAGATATGAAGTATACGTAATGAGTTTAGACAGCAACCCAATAAAACAACAAACAAAACAATTTACTTCTAAAATTCAACCTACGGTCTTCTACAATGGACATGTCATTACAATATTTTAAGTTTTTAATCCTCCCAAGTCTAGATATGATATATAGAATAGTTGTGAATACATGTAAAAAAAATATCTTAATAGCAAACAATGAATATTACTTAAAACAATGATGAGGGTCAAGAACAAACTTCTAGTAGTCTTTATAGGTGTTTATTTTTATGTGTATTTAATACTTCTGTCTGTTTTGTCATGATCGTATATTTTTGTAATCTATATTTAGTATATTATATTAATTATACATGTACATATATGTTGTAAAACATTTGTTTTGAGGTTTATTGACCATTTATACTATATATATATATGCTGTATGAGAGAAAGAGAAAGAGAAATAAAAGAAAATTATAAATTTCAAATACGAAAATACAGTTGGCATTTTAAAAGAACGGTCTCTCACAAAAGATTATGTCAATCCAGTATGTTAAGCTTTGAAGGATTAGTACGATAAGGACCTTATTTGACACCCAACATTGAACGGTATACTGCTTCATAACGTGTTTGGTAAAATTTGCTGATTTATATGCAAGGCTATTCTAATGAATTAATCTACAAAGCGAGAACACTTTCCACTTTCATCAGCTAAGAGACGGCTAGCTTTTTTAGAAAAGCTATTACTTGTATAAGTATGAGTAAATCAATATTGCCACTAGGCGGCGACATTTCAGCATTGCGCTTGTTTGAAAGTAAGGTAATTAAAAACCCATACACATGTCTGTCAATTTATCGTGCGCGTCTAGCAATTGTATAGTCTATAGTTAACAATTTACATTACTTAGTACTTAATTTGGTAAGTTAAAAAACGAAATACAATCTGATTATGATATCTCTCCAAAATTTAAATGTAAGAATATGAATACGTTTTAGATCACGAGAGGTATTCGAGATGTTCAGACCGGCATGTGTAAATCCAATGAGAGTTTGAAGAAGGCTATGATTCCAATTCCAACTCTTCATCTTACACTAAGAGTTGCCTGTTTAGAAAGTGACGAAGAGATTTCAAGGTACATACATGCATTAATTTCATTAAAATGATTGCTGAACCCAAACGCAGGCTTGGTTATAAGTCTGTAAGACATTGATCAATATCAAATGAATAATCTATTTTCTGTGTCCCATCATTTGAAACATCGAGTGATGAACATTTATTTCCATACATACTTCTACATCATTTCAATATACTGTAGAGGTTAGTTAAATTCTATGTTTAAAGGTTTATGTTATTTTTTATTTTTTAATGAGTTGAAGAGTTTCTCATATCAACAGTAAAAGATTATTCACATAGGATTGATTTTTATTCTTGTTTCAGTTGAGTGAATAACTGAAGGCGTCTTAACAATTATATATAGTGTTAAAAATGCAAGGAAAAAAGAAATACAATGTCTAAAAAAAATGGAATCCTTTCTTCAAAGTGTAGGAACAGTACCAATACATTCAGGACAATGTCAAATCTATAGTTTTCTGTGTTTTGTTTTTAGGAACGTCTTTTGTCTGTTCGTGTTCTGTTTTTGGACAAGGATAGTCTGTTTGTGTTCTGTTGTTGGACAAGGATAGTCTGTTCGTGTTCTGTTTTTTGGACAAGGATAGTCTGTTTGTGTTCTGTTCTTGGGCAAGGATAGTCTGTTTGTGTTCTGTTTTTGGACAAGGATAGTCTTTTCGTGTTCTGTTTTTGGACAAGGATAGTCTGTCTGTGTTCAGTTTTTGGACAAGGATTGTCTGTTTGTGTTCTGTTTTTGGACAAGGATAGTCTGTTTGTTATCTGTTTTTGGACAAGGATAGTCTGTTTGTGTTCTGTTTTTCGACAAGGGTTATCTGTTTGTGTTCAAATTGATCTTTGATTGCCCTTCAATATCGTCTAACTTTTTTTTTTATGTTTTATCACTTAGCAGACTGTGCTTACCGACAATTATCGTAATTACTTTAATTCAATTTTGTTTTGTGTTTACTCTAGAATGATAAAAGCATTAGACCAGTGTGTTGAAACATTCAACAAAGACAGCAAAGAAATGATTACCTTAGATGTAAAAGATATTGAAAGTTTTCGGAATGAAGTAGTGTTTGCCAATCTACAGAAAGATGAGTGTCTATCGAAAGTAATCAAACTCTCTGGTAAGAGGTGAAGATGTATGTTGAATTCTTCCTGGTACCATACCAAATCATCACGCCTGTGTTAATATGTGTTTGTTAATTTTATTGCATTTTCTACACTTTAGTTTTTCCTTGTGACTATACAGTCGAATTGTTTAAGATTCAACCATTGATTTTATAAGGAATTTCTGTAATTTCAAATGTACAGGATAAGTATTATCATGACGTACAATAATTTTGTCAGTACTAATCAGTATGCACCATATAACAGCAACTTAGTTTTTTGACATTTTTACCTATTATGTCTCTTTGTTTTGCTCACACTTGTTGTCATTATTATGGAACTCTCCGCGACTGCCGTACAAGTGAGAGGTTTAGCTAGCTATAAAACCAGGATTAATCCATCATTTTCTACATAAGGAAATGCCTTTACCAAGTCAGGAATATGACCGTTGTTTTCCATTCGTTTGATGTGTTTGAGCTTTTGATTTTGCCATTTTAAAAAGGACTTTCCGTTTTGAATTTTCCTTGGAGTTCGGTATTTTTGTTATTTTACTTTTTAGTGTAGAACAGCTATATATATAATTGAGAATATCACTTAAATATTTTGTCAAATTGCAACGACTGTTTTGAACTTTTTAACACGTTTTAATGCTCCGTAAAATTTGTACATTTTCGTCGAACACACTGTATTTCAAATATAAATGGGTTTGGCTATCCTGTTTTCAAAATTCTTGGTTCTGTTGTCGAACTGCTAAAATAATCTTTATTTTTATTATCGTCTTATTGTTAACGATATCATTATATGAAGGAAAGCAAAGAGAATAGAATATAGATTTGATATTCATATGAAAGTATCGCGTTCTTATTGGACGTATGCTTTGTGTTTTGCACTTATATATGTTTTCTGTATATTATAGATATCCTTGAGGAATGTTGTCAGAACAACGATGTACCTACATCTGATGGAAAAGGCTTCACACCACACATAACTATAGCCAAACTAACAAAATTGCCATTTAAATTGAAGAAAAAGGGTATGTTATACGTATTGCAAATATTTGTATCAATGAAATAAACTATGTAAATAACGTTTTTACAGTTAAATAAAAAGGTTATACTATGATAGATAAATATTACAGTGATCTCTACTTTAAAAGTCACCTGACCCAAAACACTAGTGTGAGCTTTTTCATCTGCTATTTGGAAAACACTTTAAGCCAAAAAAAAAAATAAACCTCCCAAAAGTCACCATGTCAACTTGTCAAACTTTACATGGTTTCCTATCCATAAGTTTATAATGCTACAATTTGTCATCAGCTCGTCAAACAGTCTATGGGAATCAGTATTTAGTGCTTTGATTTGTTTCCTAATAAGCGTTTTTGAATATACCCGAGGAGTCTACCTACAACAACAATTTCTATCAAGAGAGAAATGTTTTAAAAATTCTGGTTCAATAATATTTAACCGATTCACATTAGTCTGTATTAGAGAAATTCTAAAATAGTTCCCTTACAAATCTACATCTGACCAATGCATAAATAGTTGAGAATAAATGCATATGTACTGAAAGGTCACTGTAATCACTAAACCAAATAAAACCATACGTTTCTAGTAATTATCCGCTATACTTTATTTGTTTTTAATTGATACAATAGAAGAAATAATTCAGAAGTTTTTGTACGATATAAAAATAATGATATGTGAAACTACTCTAATTAAACAACTATCATCCAGATTTAAAGTACACTAAAGTGATATATATATACAAATCTAAGGCTGAATGTACGGGTTTCAACAGTTGGAACTAATTGATAACTTTACAATAAAGAATCTATATAAGGTTACAAAGAACAATCATTCTTTGAAATAAAGAACTATTAGTGTTTTGCTTAGTTACAGTCTCAGTCAAAACGTGAAGTGGAAAACAAAATTATAACAAAAACACAACACTTTTTTCTCGTTGCTAATCCTTAAAGTGTATTGCAGTGTTATTTACATGTAAGTGTTTAAAAGTGCGAATTCTGATGATAATGCCATTGAATATACAGTATTTTGAAAAATAGATATTTACTTTACTTGAATTATTACATGCAAATAATATCTTCTTCACATGTTCGTTTATTTTCACATAAAAGTAAAGAAAATTGACCCATCAACATACAGAAGCTATCAGAATAATCAGTTCGGTAAACAACTAGTTACATGCTTGCAGTTATGTTCTATGTACAAACCAAAGGATAGGGCAGGATATTACCATGTCTCACATCTTACTCCAATGTTAAGTAAGTTTTATGTGAAATGCAAACTAAAGGATATTATTTGGATATTATTAAGTCTCGCTCCAATGTTACATAAGTTTTATGTTCATACACAAACCAAAGAATGGGGCAGGACATTACCATGTCTCGCATCTCACTCCATTGTTACGAAAGTTGCATGTTCCATATACAAAAAAAAATAGGACAGGATATTACGGTATGTCACAAATCACTCAAGTGTTATGTAGAATTAGTTATACTTGATAAACCAAAGACGGGTTTTACCATGTGTCACATCTCAATCGAGTGCTTTGAAAGTTTTATGTGACATGCACAAACCAAAGGATAGGGCATGATATTATACTGTATTCGAACTCAATCCAATGTTATGTGATCTTTTGTTACATGCACAAACCAACGGATTGGACAGGATCTAATCACGGGTCACATCTCACTTCAATGTTTACTTTAGTTTTAAACAAGCCAACGGATAGAGTTCCATATTACGATATTAACATGTTTCACATTCACTCTATTGTTGCGCATTTAAACTCTAGTGAACTGTTTATCTAATATTACATTTGAAACTTTCATTATCTTCTAATTATTGTGTGATGATAAAAATGATACTTGGTAATTTATTATTTGCCTGAATAGTAATGTATTGCAATTTCAAATGAGAAGTTCATTTTATATGATGACACTGATTTATAATGACTTTTTACCTTAAATTCACATAAATCACGAATAAAACCCAGTAAAAGTAAGGTATGAATTATATTCTGAAGTTTATGTTTTAATCCTGATTTATTGATGTCTATAAATATCTTATTTCTTACAGAGTATAGACAGTACAGTACCTATTCAAGAGATAAATATACTATTGCTGATGCTGCTCACATTCTGGTCACAACAATCATCTCAGAAACAATTCTTGGTTTGAATAGAAATTTGAATGATGCATTAAATGAAAAGAAGACTTGTCATAATGATTCAAATGGAAATAAACCTGCAAGGTTGAATCAGTTCAACATATGACATGTGATTTTTTCAAGGTTGAATCCTATCGAAACAATCCTGCTAAAGTTGAATTCAGTTACGATAAAACAATAATAATATATCAATCAAATATCAGACAATTGATGTAAACTCAAGTAAAGACTCAATGCATAAGGTGGTATCAAGTCAAAAATGGATTGTACAGCTGGATAACTTAAGAGAAATAAGGATAAGTTAAGCTATATAAGGGATATGAATTTTATACCAAACTATGAATATGTGTCAAGGTGATTCTAGTTAAAATGTAAGCTGATTGTTGGATTAGGTCATAATAGGTACTGATATATTTGAAAACAATGTCCATAAGATAACTCATTGTTTTTTTATGTTTGACTCATTGGTTGTTAAACGTTACAAAGTGTTTGGTCTATTTTTAGTTCAAAAGACACATTATTTCAGAGCCTAATGTTTCTTAAAACGTCGGTATCACTATATATAGATTATACATATACATTCTACCATTACTTTTATTTTGTTATTCGAATATGATTGTACATGAAATGTTATTATTCGAATGTGATTGTACGTGAAAACAAAGGATATTATTTGGATATTATTAAGTCTCGCTCCAATGTTACATAAGTTTAATGTTCATACACAAACCAAAGAATGGGGCAGGATATTACCATGTCTCGCATCTCACTCCATTGTTACGAAATTTGCATGTTCCATAAACAACCAAAAGATAGGACAGAATATTACCATGTCTCGTCTGTCAGATGTCCATTGTCCTAACCTTTCATCGTTCAGTGACTGCTTGAAAAAGTATGATTTTTTGTCATGTGAAATACTCACTTACAAGTAATTGGATAACTATATTTGGTATAGGGCTTCCTTGCAAGGTTTCCTCTCTGTAAGATAGGGTTCACCTAACCCTAAACTCATTTTATTGATCAGTGATCAAGGTTGAGTTTATGTGGTCAAGTCTGTATCTCAGATACTATAAGTAACAGGTCAATTATATCAATACAATACAATATAATTTATTAACTAATCAAATCATGTTTAGCATTGTTATTTTTTTTTCATGTACAGATCTTTAAAATGTAGTTATACTTTTCTGATCTTTAAATTTACCGATTGTGTCTGATTCCCGATTTTGATATTTTGAAAAAAGTCGATTCACATGGTGGGTGATGCATGCAGAACAAAAGGCCTTTACCATATCGACGCAGTCAGTTTTTGTATTTTCACCTTTATTTGTATCTGCTTTATGTATTTATGCGATTTAAACATGAGAGAACTACTGTTGCCTCTCATTTTAGATTTCTAAGGAGAGAAAAGATACCACGGGGCCATCAAAAACCATAAGTCCAAGAAGAAAAGACAACACCATGGCCACAAAAAATACAACAAAAAGACCAGCATCAACATCAGAACTTTACACAAAATCTCAAAGATTGAGGAACAAACACCTTAACGATAACCAGGAAGACCTCAAGTGCTCTGAAGGAATAAGGAGTTCCTAATCCAGTTGTGACAACAGTCTTTTTATTCTTGTAAAAATACTTTAATGATTAAAAAAAGAGGCAAAACAGGCAATCAAACTTCTAAAGTCGGCAAGAAACTTATTTTGATTATAAATGGACTTAGTGTTTTGAAGTAAACATTTAGATACAGTCTGGGTAAAAGTTTTTTTTAGACACAAATAGCTTTTTTTACTATTAAGAAATGACATCTAATCTTTTTCATGCATCATTATTTAAAAGTGAATAAGCTTGAAATATATTTATGGAAACTCATACAATATCAAATAACCAACAAAACACTTATAATTTAAATGAAAATAGACGAACGACGGTCTAAATAGTGTATGTAACGAAGATAAAGATATAGGTAACCACTCTTCTCGATTTTTAGAAAATTTCTGGAAGCGTATGGATTAATTGGAAATCAATTATAGATTTACAGTATCGTATAAGTTTAATGTGGATAAAAGGTTTTGAGAAAATTCATTTTGATCGGAAATATGTCCTAAAAATTTTGTTTTTTGTCTCGCCTCCAACAAAGGTCGCAGAATAGGAGACATAGGGATTACAATCCGGCTATGGCTTTATAATTCAGAAGGTAAAAGATCTGGTTGCTTCATACCTTGTATGCAGATACCTTATGTTATAAACTTTTCGTCTGTCAGATGTCCATTGTCCTAACCTTTCATGGTTCAGTGACTGCTTGAAAAAATATGATTTTTTTGTCATGTGAAATACTCACTTACGAGTAATTGGATAACTATATTTTGTATTGGCTTCCTTGCAAGGTTTCCTCTCTGTAAGATAGGGTTCACCTAACCCTAAACTCATTTTATTGATCAGTGATCAAGGTTGAGTTTTCGTGGTCAAGTCTGTATCTCAGATACTATAAGTAACAGGTCAATTATATTTGGTGTATTGAATGATTGTTAGGTGTACATGTCCGGCTGTCAGGTTTCATCTGATCTTGACTTCATTTTCATGGTACATTGAACAATGTTAAGTTTTTGTCGAGCCTCAGCGGCAACGGCGGCATTTACAAACTACTTAAAAGCTTAATATTTCAGAAGGTAGAAGACCTGGAAGCTTCATACTTCGTATATGCATTATATTATGCAATTTCCGTCTGTCGTATGTCAATTGTCCTTGACCTCATTTTCAAGGTTCAGTGACTAATTGAATAAAAAGATAAGATTTTTTGTTATCTTCATTTCTCTCTTATTATGAGTAATAGAATAACTATATTTGGTATGTGCGTACCTTGCAAGGTCGGCGTGTCTGTCAGACAGTTTTCACTTGACTTCGACCTCATTTCATGGATCAGTGAACAAGGTTAAGTTTTCGTGGTCAAGTCCATATCTCAGATACTATAAGCAATAGGTCTACTATATTTGGTGTATGGAATGATTGTTAGATGTATATGTCCAACTGGCAGGTGTCATCTGACCATGGCCTCATTTTAATGGTTCAGTGGTTAAAATTTAGTTTTTGTGTTTTGGTCTGTTATTCGTAAACTATAAGCAATAGGTCAACTATATTTGGTGTATGAAATGATTGTAAGGTGTACATATCTGTCTGGCAGTAATCATCTGACCTTGACTTCATTTTCATGGTTCATTGGTCAATGTTAAGTTGTCCTAGTTAAGTTTGTTTCTTAGATACTATACGCAATAGGTCAATTATATTTAAAGCATGGAATGATTGTAAGGTGTACATGTATGTATGGCAGGGTTCATCTGACCTTGACCTCATTTTCATGGTTCATTGGTTAATGTAAAGTTTTCATGGTTTGGTCTGTTTCTTGTATACTGTTATCAATAGGTCAAAAATATTTGGTGAATGGATTCATTGTAAGGTGTACATGTATTTCTGGCTTGGTTTACCTGACTTTGACGTCATTTGTTTTATTATGTTAAGTTTATGTGGATTTGTTTTTTTTCTCAATCGATTGATGAATTTCGAATAGCGGTGTACTACTGTTGCCTTTATTTATGTGATACTTTTATTAGACTTTATATTTAGGACTATTAACATAAAATCAATGGTCAGTAAATCAGGTGAGACATTTCAGTGTGTGCACTCTTGTTGTAGTTTAATATATTTCTAAGATACTATAATCAAAAGAGCCACTATATTTTGTTTATGGAATGATCGTTAAGTTTTCCTGTTTAAGTCTATTTCGTAAATGTTATAAGCAATAGGGCAACCATATTTGGTGTATGGTGAACATGTCTGTCTGGCAGGGTTCTTATGACCATGGTTCATTGGTCAATGTTAAGGTTTTGTTGTTTGGTCTGTTTTCTAGACAGTATAAGGTAAAGGATCACTATATTTGACGTATTCATGACTTAAAAGAAAGGCAAAATATAATAAAGGGATATTCAAACTTATAAGTCGAAAACAAACTGACAATGCCATGCAAAAAACGAAAAACGACGAAAAGACAAGCAACAATGTACAAAACACAACATAGACAACTAAAGACTGAGCAACACCAACATCCAGGGGTGATCGCACGTGCTTCTGAAGGGTAAGCAGATTATGCACCCAATGTGACATCCGTCGTTTTGCTCCTATAAAATATGGTGATACGTTAAATCAAGTGATTAGGCTTAACGCAATAAGAAAACATAGACAAAAGCTTCATAATGATCAAGAAATAGTTTCCACTTTCCAAATCGGTTATTCAATAAAAGATAGTCTTCGTAATCTGAGAATACCCAACGAAATATTTTGATATCAGATAGACCATAAACAATCAATTAGGCAAGTACCGCCTCCTGGGCATTTGTTAAATCATGGTATTGCTGCTTTATTTTGAGACATCAACGTTTTTGTCTTTATTTTTTGATGCGCATGATGTGCATAACTGGATTTACCCCAAAACCTAATGCTCAATGTCCAAAGTTTGGGCAACTACGGTTTCAAAATAGGTGGATCTTTATATAACAAAGATAGCAAAACTATAAGATGTTAACTTTTCCTGAGAAAATTTCAATTTCAAATTTGCGCCTTTCACCAAAATTAAGGCCGAGAAAATTAACATATCGTCTGAGATATAAAAAAGTAAACTACAATAGATTTTAAAGAAATAGTTGACATGTACATGCTTGTCTATTTGAATGTAATAAAATAACAGTATGCAATTACTTGTTGCTGCACTATTATTTTCTAATACATTATCGTGCTGTATTACTAGACTCATTTCTTTACTTTTGAAACTCTCTGTAAAAACATCACAAATCTTCATTTAGAGATATACAGAAAGCCTTCATTTAAAGAAATGTCTTCGCTATATTAGGAATCAGCAGTCAGTAAAATTTTTGAATCATTTACTCCTGTTTTTTTTGTCTCGCCCTGATGGAGGAAAGAAGCGAGACATAGGTATGCTTTTTTGACTTTTTTGGAATAACTAACATGTACATGTTTAAGTATTGCTATTTTAATTTCAACATTTGCATTGTACTATCAACATAACCAAAAGGCGAGACATATCTCTATGTTATCAGTTTCCTGACAAACCAAGGGTTTTCCCTTGTGTATTATAATGCCGTTGACATAATGTTTGCTCAAGATTCGAGTGGGTCATATTTAAAATCCATTATTTATTGTCACAATTGATAACCAAACAATATTTTACACATTGGTCCTCTTATCGTCATGCTTTTTAAAAGGCGAAGTACCGTACGAAAAGAAACGAGAAATGTTCTAGTCAAACTTCCAGAAAACCATTCAATCTGTCGAAAATCAAAAAAGAAAGTGGGAATTCCAGTGAAACAAGAACGTTCGTCAGATATAATACCACGCCTGACTATAAGAAGGTAGGGAATAAGCAACCTTATAATTAACGTCAAAGGCAAATACAAAACTGACGTTCTAAACTTCGACCGTTACTTTTTATTGCAATGTCATTGAAACTGTAAGAGATAGACAAAGAAATAAATGGTAAAAATGTTTGGGACATTATGGCGATGATTTTATATATTCATTTTAAACCAATTCTATAAGATTTGTAGGAGTTATTGCCATATTGATACTTAAATTAATGATTCATTCATCTGGTATATTATAAAGCCATGGGTCGTTTGCATAACGCTAAAAGTATATGACCATGAAATGAAAACGTCAACCTGAAGTGACCTTGTGTAAAGCGAAAGTCGCCATTTTTGCAAACCAGAGATAGTTCAAATTAACCAACCATATGACATCGTAAGAGACATTATGTAAGCCACATATAACTTCCTTATTTCAAGCAAAAGTGCATACACTACACTACAACACAATCTTATCAAACAAAAGTTTTCCTATTTAATCAAATGGTCGTTTGGTAAATCTGAATACAAATATATTTGCTGCAACTCATTTAAAGCCTTCTTCTCTAATGAGAAAGGTAACTATGCTAGATATACTTACTGGAGGTGTGATGAGATGATTGAAGCTCTAAATTGTCTCCTTGATAATATTAATGTACGTTTTGGCAATAAAGTTTATCGACAGGTAGGTATTCCTATGGGCACCAATTGCACCCCTTTAATAGCAGACTTGTTCTTGTATTGTTATAAATCACAGTTTATGACCAACCTCAGTAAAGATCCGTCTAAATTGTATTTAATTGATAAATTCAACAACACTTACCGTTATCTTGATTACATTTTTTCGTTAAACTATCAAGAATTTTCTAAATATACTGCCGAAGTTTACCCAAAGGAACTTACTTTAAATAAATCAAATATAAACGGTAATAACTGTCCTTTCCTAGATTTAGATATTTCAATTTTAAACGGGAAACTCTACACTAAAATTTACGACAAAAGGGACGATTTTTCGTTCCATATTGTTAATTTTCCTTTTTTGGACGGTGATGTTCCTTTGGCACCATCTTACGGTGTTTATTTATCACAACTCGTTCGCTATTCCCGTGTCTGTTGTGACGTTTCAGAATTCAATGAACGTAATCTGTGTATTACTGGTAAATTATTAAGTCAGGGATTTCGTAACCACAAATTACTTAAAACCTTTACTAAATTCTTCCATTAATATAAAGATTTGGTTTTGAAGTTTGATTGTACCTTATTTCAAACGGAATAGCACATCCTAATTTTTACGGAGATGTTGTTTTCCGAGCCTGGAAATTTAGATACGATCCGGGTAAACTTATCGATCCTTTAAATAAACTTATTCTAAAAGGTTACCAATTCAACACTGTAATTAGATTTTT